CGACGGAGCTGCAGGGGCAGTAGAACGTGGAGGCGGCGGAAGTTCCGCATGCCTTTCCGTGCCAGCTTGTCGCGTTACCCCCGATAGTAACGCGCCGATGCTTTCTGAAAACACAAGAAGGGGTAAGGGGGAAGTGATAAATAGGAACGCGGACGAGAAACTTAGGAAGGAAAACGGGAAATGAGAAAGAACAGGGAAGGGGAAGAAAGAATCATTTGGCAAAAACTAAGCAACGTCGCGCTGCTTATTTGCCCGGATACAATCTGCGACAGGCCTGGGGCAGCGATAAACTCTGCGAGCTCACGAAAACTGCTAGTGATATCAAAGGGGCGCGACGTTAGCAGCAGAGCGACGACCCGCGCCGGTGCGCCTGGCAGATCGACGATACCAAACTCATCGAAAGGGAAATCATCGCGCCATAGAAGCAGGCAGAAACGAGAGAACGTTGGCAGAAACGAGAAACAAGGAGATAGAAATGTTGAAATGTTGGAAAGAGGCATTACGGATATACGCGGTGAAAAGAGAAGGGAGGGGGCATGACAGAAACCTGGGTGGATGGATGGTCAAGATTTGGCAGTCGAGAGAAATGGTTGGGGGATCAACGGTTCACAATAGGATGCCCTTGGGTTATGTTCTTGTGCGGCGAAATGTGTCAACGCGGTTGCCCCGGAGAGCCGTCGATTACACCAGACTAGTGGAAACTAACGAACGGCATCCGCCTTGCCAAAGCTGTGAGATGAGGTTACGACAGAACACTCACTCAAAAAGGGAAATATATTTTTTAACTTTGCCCCAATACTACTTGGCTTGAAATAATTGTTGAAACTTGCCTCGTGTTACGAGTGCAATTGATGAAACGAGCGAGGATTGCACTAAAGTTTCAAACGAGTACAAATGTGAGCAAATGCATGATCGAACATTTATAGCAAAACAAGTCAACGGTAACGAGGTGCTTGCGAGCTAGCTACTGCGATGCTTGTAACGAGGTTCGGGATAGTCCCGATGTGTAGGCCGACTCAGCCAAGCCCAGCGGTGCAAGGTTCGATGAAAGTGACGCGCGAAGTGGCGAAGAACGTTAAGTAGTAACAAACGGACGTCGATACGACACCACGTGTCGCACATGCCTATCCTTGCACAGATTTACTGTTAGAGTAAGGATCTTTCGATAGGATAGGAAGTGCCTTGGTAGAGTTGGTAGCGGAAGTCTTGTAAGAACTCAGATCATAGTGAATGTAAATGACCGAGTTGATTAAAAGATAGAATACAAGGAATATAAATAGTCCTAGTCTAGCCATGTACTCTAAGGGGTACATTCCCTTATTATAACTGTTTTACAGGCATTTCTACAGTGACTCAGACTGTTGTACTGCCTTTCTTGTTACCGAGTCGCTGCATGTAACCTGTACGGTTACGCCTGTTGCCATTCCTCGATGGTAAGTCAAGCGTTGGTCCAGATGGTCAACAGTCGCGACACTTGACTCTTGCGACTGTTGACCTTCCTGCCCTTGTTACGGGCAGATCCGATATTGCAGTAGTTGCTGCTTCGACAGAGTCAGGTGCGATTCTGCTGCACCTACGGGAATGCTAAGTATAATTCCCTTCATACTCCAACATTTACCATGGAACGCACAAACATGCGCCACGTGCTGCGTAGTTGTGCGAACGAACTCAAACCAGCTCCTACGGGTAGGGAATAGGATGTACTAAGGAACTGTGTGAAGAAATAGTGGTAAAAAAGGCATTCAAACGTCGGCGAGGTGACATGTTGCGTACAGGCATTCTTGACACTATCCTTGCACAGATTCACCATGGAACGCACAAACATGCGCCACATGCTGCGTAGTTGTGCGAACGAACTCAAACCAGCTCCTACGGGTAGGAAATAGGATGTACTAGGGAACTGTGTGAAGAAATAGTGGTAAAAAAGGCATCCAAACGTCGGCGAGGTGACATGTTGCGTACAGGCCTATCCTTGCACAGATTCACCATGGAACGCACAAACATGCGCCACGTGCTCCGTAGTTGTGCGAACGAAATCAAACCAGTTCCTACGGGTAGGGAATAGGATGCACTAGGGAACTGTGTGAAGAAATAGTGGTAAAAAAGGCATCCAAACGTCGGCGAGGTGACATGTTGCATACAGGCCTATCCTTGCACAGATTCACAGTGGAACGCACAAATATGCGCCACGTGCTGCGTAGTTGTGCGAACGAACTCAAACCAGTTCCTACAGGTAGGGAATAGGATGTACTAGGGAACTGTGTGAAGAAATAGTGGTAAAAAAGGCATCCAAACGTCGGCGAGGTGACATGTTGCGTACATGCCTATCCTTGCACAGATTCACCATGGAACGCACAAACATGCGCCACGTGCTGCGTAGTTGTGCGAACGAACTCAAACCAATTCCTACAGGTAGGGAATAGGATGTACTAGGGAACTGTGTGAAGAAATAGTGGTAAGAAAGGCATCCAAACGTCGGCGAGGTGACATGTTGCGTACAGGCCTATCCTTGCACAGATTCAACATGGAACGCACAAACATGCGCCACGTGCTGCGTAGTTGTGCGAACGAACTCAAACCAGTTCTTACGGGTAGGAAATAGGATGTACTAGGGAACTGTGTGAATAAATAGTGGTAAAAAAGGCATCCAAACGTCGGCGAGGTGACATGTTGCGTACAGGCCTATCCGTGCACAGATTCACCATGGAACGCACAAACATGCGCCACGTGCTGCGTAGTTGTGCGAACGAACTCAAACCAGTTCCTACAGGTAGGGAATAGGATGTACTAGGGAACTGTGTGAAGAAATAGTGGTAAAAATGGCATCCAAACGTCGGCGAGGTGACATGTTGCGTACAGACCTATCCTTGCACAACTTTCCCTGCTCAATTTTTTGAAACAGCACATCTTCCTACCAGATGTTGCGAATGACACCAAATCTTTTCCAACACGCTCACAGTATAGTAAATGCTTGAATGATCAAAAGAAACACAATTTAAAACGAGAAACTGATGATATTTTGGCACCACGTGTCGCACAGGCCTATCCTTGCACAGTTTTCCCTGCGCAATTGTTCGAAACGTCATATCTTCCTACCAGATGCTGCGAATGGCACCAAAATTGTTCCAAAATGCTATCGTGAGCCACACCACCATCTGTTCAACTCATATTCCCGTAGTTCTCCCCTCTCGCCTTTGACCCCCCTCACCTCGCAACTGCCTCCCAGGAACAAGCGAGTGACGGCCTTGTGCATGCGCGTGTCAAAGAGAGCCACACCACCGTCTTCTCCGCGACCATAAGAGGGATCGCAAGTGGATGCAGAGGCGCGATCATAAGAGGGATCGCAAGTGGATGCAGAGGCGCGATCATAAGAGGGATCGCAAGTGGATGCAGACGCGCGATCATAAGAGGGATCGCAAGTGGATGCAGAGGCGCGATCATAAGAGGGATCGCAAGTGGATGCAGAGGCGCGATCATAAGAGGGATCGCAAGTGGATGCAGAGGCGCGATCATAAGAGGGATCGCAAGTGGATGCAGAGGCGCGATCATAAGAGGGATCGCAAGTGGATGCAGAGGCGCGATCATAAGAGGGATCGCAAGTGGATGCAGACGCGCGATCATAAGAGGGATCGCAAGTGGATGCAGAGGCGCGATCATAAGAGGGATCGCAAGTGGATGCAGACGCGCGATCATAAGAGGGATCGCAAGTGGATGCAGAGGCGCGATCATAAGAGGGATCGCAAGTGGATGCAGAGGCGCGATCATAAGAGGGATCGCAAGTGGATGCAGAGGCGCGATCATAAGAGGGATCGCAAGTGGATGCAGAGGCGCGATCATAAGAGGGATCGCAAGTGGATGCAGAGGCGCGAATCATAAGAGGAATCACAAGTGGATGCAGACGCGTGATCATAAGAGGAATCACAAGTGGATGCAGACGCGTAATCATAAGAGGAATCACAAGTGGATGCAGACGCGTGATCATAAGAGGAATCACAAATGGATGCAGAGGCGTAATCATAAGAGGAATCACAAGTGGATGCAGACGCGTGATCATAAGAGGAATCACAAGTGGATGCAGACGCGTGATCATAAGAGGAATCACAAGTGGATGCAGACGCGTGATCATAAGAGGAATCACAAGTGGATGCAGAGGCGTGATCATAAGAGGAATCACAAGTGGATGCAGACGCGTGATCATAAGAGGAATCACAAGTGGATGCAGACGCGTGATCATAAGAGGAATCACAAGTGGATGCAGACGCGTGATCATAAGAGGAATCACAAGTGGATGCAGACGCGTGATCATAAGAGGGATCACAAGTGGATGCAGACGCGTGATCATAAGAGGGATCACAAGTGGATGCAGACGCGTGATCATAAGAGGGATCACAAGTGGATGCAGACGCGTGATCATAAGAGGAATCACAAGTGGATGCAGACGCGCGATCATAAGAGGAATCACAAGTGGATGCAGACGCGTGTTCATAAGAGGAATCACAAGTGGATGCAGACGCGCGATCATAAGAGGAATCACAAGTGGATGCAGACGCGCGATCATAAGAGGAATCACAAGTGGATGCAGACGCGCGATCATAAGAGGAATCACAAGTGGATGCAGACGCGCGATCATAAGAGGAATCACAAGTGAATGCAGACGCGTGATCATAAGAGGAATCACAAGTGGATGCAGACGCGTGATCATAAGAGGAATCACAAGTGGATGCAGACGCGTGATCATAAGAGGAATCACAAGTGGATGCAGACGCGTGATCATAAGAGGAATCACAAGTGGATGCAGACGCGTAATCATAAGAGGAATCGCAAGTGGACACGGGGGTCATGGCGTGGCAGACGGGGAGAGAGAAGCTTACCGACAATGATTTCCCGAGAATCGGTGGGGTTGGCAGCAACACATGTGACAAACTGCATTGCACGGGGGAGGAGAGATATGACATGGGGGAGAGAGGGAGAGGGCACGCCGTGCGGATGGGATGGCGTAGCTATGATGATAGGCATGGCAGAGAGATATGGGAGATGGCATGACTCCCTGTCGACAGAGAGTCGGTGGGGTTGGCAACAACACATGTGACGAACTGCATGTCATGGTGGAAGGAAAGAGCATGGGGTATGGATGGGATGATGCAGGCATGAGTGATGGGCATGGCAAACGGCACCTACCCCTCCCAATAAAGAGTTGGTAGGTTTGGTGGCAACACATGGCATGAGGGTAGAGGGAAACGAGGATGCTCTTACCGAGGAAAAGGCAGGCATGTGAAACACAAATGATTTTCCTTACAAGAGAGGTGCCACAGCACTCAGCCATAGCACACGAGTGTTCATTCAGACTTACTGACGAGAAGGCAAACATGTGAAACACAGAGGATCCCGGAACTGTGTTTGTGCGAATTCCTTTTAATCACCCTTTAGTTCCAACAACCACCCTTCACTTGGACTCACCGAAGAGAAGGCAGGCATGTGAAACACAGAGGATCCCGCATGGGCAGCAGCAGGAGCAGGAGAGGCAGAGGGTGCAGTGGAGGAGGGGGAAGAGGAGGAGGCGCGGGAGGTGTCCCAGAGAACAACTGTGGAAGGTGCGGATCCAATGGTATCAGAGCCGCACACGAGCCAGCGGTCGTCCGCAAAGCACAGCGCATCCATTGCCATGCGCACTCGCACCGGAGCACTCTGCGCTGTTGCCCTGCTGGAGGTGAAATGATGATGTGACATGCAACCTAAGGCAAAGCACAGCACAGTGCATCCATGGCCATGCGCACTCGCACCGCGGCACGCTGGCCTGCTGCATTCCCTGCCCTGCTGGGGTTGGTTGATTGGGGAGTGAATGGATGATGTCACATGCAATGCACGGCAACACAAAGCACAGCGCATCCATGGCCATGCGCACTCGCACCGGGGAAGAATGCCCTGCTGGCCTGCTGGGGTTGGGGAAGCACATGCATGATGTGATGTCGCATGTAGTGTTGGCAAAGCACAGCCCAGTGCATCCATGGCCATGCGCACTCGCACACGGACACTCTGCTCTGCGGCACTCCCTGGCCTGCTAGGGATTGATTGAGGTGTGCATGAACATTATTGTATGCAATGTCGGGCAAAGCAAAGCACAGCGCTTCATGGCCCTGCGCACTCGCACTCGAGCACTCTGCCCTGCTGCACCCACTGCCGTGCTGGGGTTGGGGAAAGGGGGCAGATGAACGATATGATGTCCCATGCAATGTAAGGCAAAGCACAGCACAGATCATCCATAGCCATGTGGACTCGCACCTGGGAAGTGTGCGCTGCTGCCCTCCCTGCTGGAAATTGGTTGGCTGGGTGGGGGCATGAAAGGTGTCCCTCCCTGCCCGCACTTGCACCATTGCACTCCCTGCCCTGCCTCTCTCACATAGCGGCAACACATAGCATCCAACATCCCACACCGAAAGGCATCGCAAAGCAACAAGCAAAATAGCTGGGCGGCAAAGTATCTAGAGGGCACGGTACCTGGGCGGCCTGGGCGGCAAAATACCTGGGCGGCAAAATACCTGGGCGGCAGAGTGAACGAGGGGGAGAGGTGGGCGAGGGGCGTCGCTGCACGCACGTCCCACAGGATGACGTGTGGGTCCCCACTGGCACTGCTGGTGGCTGCTAGGTCTGATGTTGATAGTGGGGCAAGGTGGGGAGAGATGGAGAGCGGTGGTGAGTGGTGAGGGGCGTGGCTGCACGCACGTCCCACAGGATGACCCGCGGGCCAGCACTGGCACCACTGGTGGCTGCTAGGTCTGATGTGGAGAGCAGGGTGGGGAGAGGGAGGGCAGTGGTGATGTGCGGGGTAGGGTGGGGAGAGGGAGGGCAGTGGTGATGTGCGGGGTAGGGTGGGGAGAGGGAGGGCAGTGGTGATGTGCGGGGTAGGGTGGGGAGAGGGAGGGCAGTGGTGATGTGCGGGGTAGGGTGGGGAGAGGGAGGGCAGTGGTGATGTGCGGGGTAGGGTGGGGAGGAAGCGGAGAGAGTTGAGGGCAGTGAAAGGTTGGTCTGAGAGCGCATCCCAAATGACCCATGGGTCAGCACTGGCGCCACTGCTGGCTGCTAGGTCTGATGTGGAGAGCAGGGTGGGGAGAGGGGGAGGTGGCGTTCGGGTTGACTGGAGAGAGGAGCAAAGGCAAATGACAAAACTGAGAGACAGGGAGAATTTCACCATCCGCCGCCCATCGTTGTCCATTTAAACACACACGTCGTACTCCCTCAAGCTTTTCTAAAGAACGTGAATATGCTGGTTGACTGCACTGACTCACGGGAAAGCCAATGGTTGACTGCATTGACTCACGGGAAAGCCGATGGTTGACTGCGTTGACTCACGGGAAAGCCGATGGTTGACTGCGTTGACTCACGGGAAAGCCGATGGTTGACTGCGTTGACTCACGGGAAAGCCGATGGTTGACTGCATTGACTCACGGGAAAGCCGATGGTTAACGGAAAGAGCACAGATCTTGTCGCGATGACACGCAATCGACGGGTTCCCACTGGCAGTGGCGGTGGCAACTCCCGGCCCACACGAGTGCAGCAGCGATGCTGACGTGGCATCCCACACCTGGAGGGAACGGTTGCAGTGGCAGGTGGAACAGATACGAGGTTGAGGAAGGGAGGGTTGATCAAGGGGAGTTTGTAGTCTCCATGCACGGGGTTGAATGCAGAGAAAGCGTGAGATGCTTGAACATGACCAAGAGTAGACTCTTGGGTATGGACGGACCAAGACTAGACTGTTTCAAGTATGCTGTCATGTCTGCCCCCATGGCACGGGCATGGCAAGGGCATGGCAAGGCCATGGCAGTGCATGGCAAGGGCATGGCAGTGCATGGCAAGGGCATGGCAGTGCATGGCAAGGGCATGGCAAGGGCATGGCAAGGGCATGGCAAGGGCATGGCAAGGGCATGGCAAGGGCATGGCAAGGGCATGGCAGTGCATGGCAAGGGCATGGCAAGGGCATGGCAGTGCATGGCAAGGGCATGGCAGTGCATGGCAAGGGCATGGCAAGGGCATGGCAAGGGCATGGCAAGGGCATGGCAGTGCATGGCAAGGGCATGGCAAGGGTATGGCAAGGGCATGGCAGCGCATGGCATTGAAAAGCAAGTCCCCTCTCACCTTGAGTGTAGAGCCCCCACAGGAGAGGATGACGTCACCATCCATGGCATACTCCACCGCCTGGATCTGCCGCGGTGTGATGCGGTGGGGAGGGATGGGGTGGGGTGGGGTGCATGGGGATGGATGGCAGTGACGATACATGGCAAGAGAGCAATGGGGAAGAGGATGGTGTTATCATCCATAGCATACTCCACTGCCTGGATATGATGGCGTGGTGTGATGCGGTGGGGAGGGATGGGGTGCATAGGGATGGCAGTTACGGCACATGGGGAAGGAATCACGGGGGAAGGAAGGATGGGGGGGGGGGGGGGGGGGGGGGGGGGGAATAGGATAAGGTCAGGATGCAGGGCATTCTTCACGTCTCTGTCCGGATCTGCCTTTTGCGAATTCTCATAAGTGATTCAAGAGAGGATAAGGTAAGGATGCAATGCAGGGCATGCTTCACGTTTCTGTTCGGATCTGAAACCAGGAAACGACGTGATGGGGTGAGGTGAGGTGCACGAGGGTGCCACTCCAAGGAAGATGGGGTGGAGACGGATTGCAGATGGCAGTGAAACATTCTGGAGGAGCGAACGGTGACAGCTGGCAGGGAGCAGGAGAGGCAGCACCTGGCAGTTGTGGCCTTGCAGGGGGCGGTGGGAGCCGGTTGAGAGGTCGAAGAGGAGCAGCTCGTTGGGCGCCTGGTGGGGTGGTGGGGCAGGGGGCAGGGGGGAGGGGAGGGGAGGGGGGAGAAGGGGGCAGCGCGGACAGAGGGGAGGCTCGTTGTGAGCCGGAGGAGAGGTCGAAGAGTAGCACCTCGTTGGGCGCCTGGTGGGTTCGTGGGGCAGGGCGCAGAGGGGAGGGAGGACAGGGGGCAGGGAGCAGGGGGGCCCAGGGGGCAGGGGAAGACCGAGGGGAGGCTCATTGTGGATAAGCTGTGAAACGTCTATTTTTGCGGCGCCTCAGAAAAATACAGGTCCAAAAACACACAATGTTAACAGTCACGGCAATGAGTTGTGATGATCTTGGCAAGCAGTCGCCATGTGAATCACTCGCACCACTCACTCACTCACCTCGTTGCAGCCAATCCCACCATCCCACCATGCCACCATCCCACCATCCCACCATGCCACCATCCCACCATCCCACCATGCCACCATCCCACCATCCCACCATGCCACCATCCCACCATCCCACCATGCCACCATGCCACCATCCCACCATGCCACCATCCCACCATCCCACCATCTCCCCATCATCTCACATCGCTGATGCTGGTGGTGGGCGCGTCAGCAGCATGGGAGGTGTAGCTGGCCCAGTTGGGACGCCACGTGTCAGCACGTGATTGGCAGAGGACCGACCCCAGGCCTTGACGAGGGTTGTCCAGTGATCCCCATCCTGCCAGATCAGTGCAGCACCGCACCGAAAAGCACAGCACCACACACAAAAAGCAGTGACAGCAGGATATGGAAGAGCCCCAGTGGGCAACATGACACCTGTCCCAACTACACCATGCCCTGCAATGGCCGCCCCACCCTCCATGCCCCACCCTCCATGCCCCACCCTCCATGCCCCACCCTCCATGCCCCACCCTCCATGCCCCACCCTCCATGCCCCACCCTCCATGCCCCACCCTCCATGCCCCACCCTCCATGCCCCACCCTCCATGCCCCACCCTCCATGCCCCACCCTCCATGCCCCACCCTCCATGCCCCACCCTCCATGCCCCACCCTCCATGCCCCACCCTCCATGCCCCACCCTCCATGCCCCACCCTCCATGCCCCCACCCTCCATGCCCCACCCTCCATGCCCACACCCTCCATGCCCCACCCTCCATGCCCCACCCTCCATGCCCCACCCTCCATGCCCCACCCTCCATTGCCCCACCCCTCCATGCCCCACCCTCCATGCCCCACCCTCCATGCCCCACCCTCCATGCCCCACCCTCCATGCCCCACCCCTCCATGCCCCACCCTCCAATGCCCCACCCTCCATGCCCCACCTCATGCCCACCCTCCATGCCCCACCCTCCATGCCCCACTCCTCCCATGCCCCACCCCTCCATGCCCCACCCTCCATGATGCCCCACCCTCCCATGCCCCACCCTCCATGCCCCCACCCTCCATGCCCCGACCCTCCATGCCCCACCCTCCATGCCCCACCCTCCACATGCCCTCACCCTCAATGCCCCACCCTCCATGCCCCCACCCTCCATAGCCCCACCCTCCATGCCCCACCCTCCATGCCCCACCCCTCCATGCCCCACCTCTCCATGCCCCTCCATGTGCCACCCTCCATGCCCCACCCTCCATGCCCCCACCCTCCATGCCCCCACCCTCCATGACCCCCACCCTCCATTGCCCCCACCCTTCCATGCCCCACCCTCCATGCCCCACCCCTCCATGCCCCACCCTCCCATGCCCCACCCTCCATGCCCCACCCTCCATGCCCCACCCTCCATGCCCCACCCTCCATGCCCCACCCTCCATGCCCCACCCTCCATGCCCCACCCTCCATGCCCACCCTCCATGCCCCCACCCTCCATGCCCCACCCTCCATGCCCCACCCTCCATGCCCCACCCTCCATGCCCCACCCTCCATGCCCACCCTCCATGCCCACCCTCCAGCCCCACCCTCCATGCCCCACCCTCCATGCCCCACCCTCCATGCCCCACCCTCCATGCCCCACCCTCCCCATGCCCCACCCTCCATGCCCCACCCTCCATGCCCCACCCCTCCATGCCCCACCCTCCATGCCCCACCCTCCATGCCCACCCTCCATGCCCCACCCATGCAATGCACCACCCTCCATGCCCCACCCTCCATGCCCCAACCCTGCCCCATGCCCCACCCTCCATGCCCCACCCTCACATGCCCCAACCCTCCATGCCCCACCCTCCATGCCCCACCCTCCATGCCCCACCCTCCATGCCCCACCCTCCATGCCCCACCCTCCATGCCCCACCCTCCATGCCCCACCCTCCATGCCCCACCCTCCATGCCCCACCCTCCATGCCCCACCCTCCATGCCCCACCCTCCATGCCCCACCCTCCATGCCCCACCCTCCATGCCCCACCCTCCATGCCCCACCCTCCATGCCCCACCCTCCATGCCCCACCCTCCATGCCCCACCCTCCATGCCCACACCCTCCATGCCCCACCCTCCATGCCCCACCCTCCATGCCCCACCCTCCATGCCCCACCCTCCATGCCCCACCCTCCATGCCCCACCCTCCATGCCCCACCCTCCATGCCCCACCCTCCATGCCCCACCCCACCCCACCCCACCCCACCTCACCTGTCCAAACAGCCTTGTAACTCTGAGCGCTCTTAGCTCGCATCCACCTCCCTCTGCTGCCCGCCCCTCCGCTCTCTCCACAATCTGCCTGCCTCCTGTACCCCAACCCACACTCCCTCGCCCTCAACGCTCCACTCACACCCGCCTCCTCTGCACCTCCCACCACGGCCCCCACTGCACTGCTGCGCACCGCCTTTGGTGTATCTCCAGACCCTATCTCGCCCTGTGAAGTCTTGCCAGACCCGAAAATGTGCTCTGCCTCCTGCTCCCTCCAACCCCCTTTCTTCGTCTCTTCCCCACCAACCTCCCTCCCTCTGTTCCCCGTTCCCTTCCCCCGGTGCTGCTTCGCCTCCTCCTCAGCCTCGTCCTCCCCTTCCTCTCCCTCTTTCTCATCCTCTCCCATCGCAGCTTCCTGCCTGCCCAAACCGTGCCCAGCCATCTCCCCACCTCCTCGCCTGCCCCTCCCGCCACCCCCACACGCCTCCCTGGAACCCCCATCGCTGCCCCTCCGCCCTTTAAAGTCACGCCGGTGATAGTCAACACTGCAGACCACCCATGCCTCTAACGTTGCCTCTGGCCCCTCCCGCTCTCCCTGCCTCCTCCCCGCCCCACGCCCCTCAACCCCAAACCCTCCGTGCTGAGAATAGGTCCCCAAAACCCCTTCTTGAGTCAACTTAAAGCCCCCCTCCACAGGAGCCTCTGGCCTCTGAATCCCCCCCTGCCGAATCCTCCCCATCTCGCGCCCCTCAACCCTCTGAGAGCAGTGGCGGGGGGCGAAGGGGGGCTTCCATGGAGGCACGAACTCGTGGCGCCTCATGGCGCTTATCTGCTTGTCAGCATCCCTTCTCTCCCCCTTCCCCTCTCCACTCTGCTCCTCCTGAGCCTTACCCTCTTGCCTCCTCTGCCCCAGACTTCCCTGCTCCTCGCTCCCCTTACTCATTTGCTCCTCCTCCCCTTCACCCCCCTCCTCCCTCTTCCCTTGCCTCAATACCTCGTCCCTTCTCTCCCCGCTGCCTCCCTGCAGCAGCAGCAGGTGGCGCTGCAGCAACACGAGGCTGGCAGGGTAGGGCCACGAATGAACGTGAGGAAAGGGAATACGGGACGAAATGTTAGGGGAAATGAGAGAGGAGCAAAGTGGGGAGATGAAATCACTGCAGTCCTTCTCGGCCCTCGTCTCTCATCTCCCCACTGTCACCCTGCAGCAGCAGCAGCAGCAGGTGGCACTGCAGCAACACGAGGGTGGCAGGAGAGGGGTGCAAAAAATCGTGAGGAAAGGGAATACGAGACGGAATGTGAGTGGAGAAAACGGGCACAGCTGGATAGAGGAGAAATCACTGTGCTCCATCTCTCAGCCCCATCACCCAGCCCGCCCCACTGCCACCCTGTAGCCACACGACGCTGCAGTGTGCCATGCAGCTTGGAGGGAAGGAAGGGCGCGCAGGAGAGGGAGGAAGGAGGAGGCGAGAGATGGCATGGGTGGAGGTTTAAGAGAATTGGCCGATCAACAACAGTGAAGGCTCCATTCATGAGGCGCGTACAAAATAGGGGCAGGCGGAAGGAGGGGTCGAGAGATGGCATGGGTGGAGTGGAGGTTCAAGAGAATTGGCCGATCAGCAGCAGTGAAGGCTCCATCAGATGTTTCACGCAGCCCACCTGTTGAAGTTGCCTCTGAGAATTCTCAGAAGCAACTCCAAAATTGGCCGATCACCAGCAGTGAAGGCGCCATCAGATATCTCACGCAGCCCACCTGTTGAAGTGGTTCACGAGAGCGCAGTGCTGCTGCTGCACCAACTGCCCCACCTCCTGTGCCTCGGCTGCCTCCCCTCCCCCCACCACCGCGCTCACGCATGTGCCTCCAGACGACAGCATTGAATGCTTTATGTTTTTGGTGACTCAAGTGCACCCCACCCACCTGTTGAAGTGATTCACGAGAGTGCAGTGCTGCTGATGCACCAACCGCCCCACCTCCTGCGCTTCTGCTGCCTCCCCTCCCACCGCTTCTTCCACTTCCCTCCGCTTTTTCATGGGATGCTGGAAGACAGAGGGGGGTATGGGGGAGATAGGGAGATAGGGAGGACGGGGGGAGACGGGAAAATAGCGGAGATAGGGGGGAAGCGGGAGGTAATTTGAACAGGCTGGCAAAAATGTTGCAGGTGCCAGCCATTGCAGGATTGTCTGTATCTTTTGATTCTCATTGCACAGATTATCTTTTGATGCTCATTGCACAGAAAGGCCCTTTTTTTCTCGGAAATTGGCTCTCGGAAAGGCGAGAAATGAAGAAATGAAAAGGAAGATGGATGGGGAAGAAATGAAAAAGGAAGACCAAAATGTAGAGTCTCTCGAACTCAACAAATAGTGACGGCTGTGGGATTTGAACCCACGCCTTATTCAAGACTGGAGCCTAAATCCAGCGCCTTAGACCACTCGGCCAAACCGTCACGTCAATCGTGAAAACCGTAAATGAATATGGGTTTCTACGCCTTTACAACACATCCACACAGAGGCTGCCAGGGGCTGCCAGGTCGGGAGTGAGGGTGCAGTGAGTTTGCAGTGAGGGTGCACTCAAGGTGAGTCACCTCACACAACCACACCTCACTTCACCCCACCCCACCTCATCTCACCTCTGTGTATGTCGCCATTCTTCCTCCCCACCTCCTGCGCCTCCCAGCGTATCCCTCTCCTCTCCTCCGCTCTTTTCCCACCTCCTCTCCTTCCCCATCCTCGTCCCCCTCCTCCTCCCCCTCCTCCCCATCTCCTCTCTCCCCGCTGCTCCGACACTCATCATAGTCCAAACGCCCTGCTCCAACCCCTGCCCCTCTTCTCCTCTCTGCTCCTCTCCGCATCCCTCTGTCTCCCCCACTCCCTCCATCTCTCCTCCTCCCTCCATCTCTCCCTCTCCCTGCATCCCTCCCCATCCCATCCCCATATCCCACCACACCCTCCTCCCCCTCCTCTTCCCCCACCGACCCCTCTCCCTGCACCATCCCCTCACCCGCAATCCCCAGGCCCCCCTGGTGTTTGATGCGGTAACAGTGTACTGCACTATGCGCTGCATGGGAGTGCGTCTGAGCTCTAGGGGCAGTCGCCCCCACTCCTGCTGCACCCACTGCCGCACCTCCCATGCAGCAAGGGTGGGCGTGGTTGGGGGGAGGGAGGCAAGCCACCGATACATGGGCAGCCACTTGTGAGAGATGGGCTGGGGGGGGGGGGGGGGAGAGTGGGAGAGTGTGGGAAAGAAGGGGGAGAAAGGAAGGGGGCGAAAGGAGTAAGAAAAAAGGAGGGAGGGGGAGGAGGAGAGGTGTGAGAAAGGGGGCGAGAGGGGGAAAGGTGCGAGAAAGGTGGAGAGGGGAAGGTGTGAGAAAGGCAGAGATGGGGGTGAAATGTGTGAGAAAGGGGAAGAGGTGGGCGAAATGTGTGAGAAAGGCAGGTGCGCGCCTAACAATTGGAGTGGAATTGAAGCCGCCTCAATCATCCAGCACCCACTGCCACTGCCGCGCCTCCCACGCGTTCAAGGAAAATGGTGTGGGGGTGTGGGGGTGTGGGGGGGGGGGTTGGGTTGAACAAGAGCCAGCGGTGCATGGGAAGCCACTTCAGGGTGATGGCTCACGAGGTGGGGGAAAGGGGGAGCGTGTGCGAAGAGGGGGTGAGTGGGATGGTAGCGCCGCTCCTGCTGCACCCCATGAGGTGAGATGAGGGGCCCTTGTTCTGATTGGCGGGATGGAAGGCGGGGAGAGCGTGCGTGCGAGTGAGAGTGTGCGGCTTAGCAAGGGGGATGTGCGGAAGAAGGTAGAGGGGGGCCGGCGGAGGAATGGCGGAGAATGATGGAGGGGGAACGGCGGGGGGACGGCGGAGGAAGGAAGCTCATGCGCGGGGACGCAACGAGGGGCATCTCACCGGAGCCATGGCGCGAAATGGCGAAGCGCGCAGAAAGTCGGCGGCTTGTGGAAGCTGTACTAAGCGCGGAGGGCGTGCGGGCCGCGAAATGGTCAGCGGAAGAAACGGCCGCGTCAGACGTGGTAGACGCGGCACGAGGAATAATTCCCTAAAAAAAATAACTTCGCATCCAAAAAACTCGCTTTCCTAATAGCGTCTCGTCTGATAGGAAGCTGGAAATACTGGCAGGGAAGTGATTGACGACAGTGTGCTGCTGAAAAACATTTTCCTATTTAGATCGTTCTGTGGAAAAGCTCTGTTACTCAGCCAAGGTCGACCATCCTGTGTAACTGGTTTGCATACCAAGCATATTGCGAAAACGAGCTGCGAAAGTCGAAGAATTTGCGAAGAGATTTTGCAGCCAACTTTCTCGCCATCGCACGCTCAGCTGGTGATTTCCCAGTTTCTTCCCCAACAAATAGAAGTTCGCTAACTCATGTCCGTCGTCGTCGACACGGAAACTTCATGCTGCGAAAATGAGTCTGATCCCTAGGACTGCCGAGAACCAAGCCTTCAAGATCCAACTATTCGAAACTCGAACCGGGATGGCCCGGGCTGAGAGCCACGCACTGGTCTAAAAACAAACTACCAGTTGGGTTCCCTCGAGATCATCACCTCCCGTTTCGCGTGATTAGCATCCACAGCTTCTCGCCGGGGCGATCTCCAATAACGGGGTTTTTTATACCGCATATGATTTATACCGCATATGATCAGTCATACTGACGTACTATACGATATTTCGGTCCATGATTCTTTCCCCACAGGGATCATCGTAGAATCGAGCCGCATTGCGTCCCCGCACAGTGTTCACCGTCAGAGGTTCACGTCCTTGGGAATATCGCGTCGCGGTCCTCATGGAACGTGACTGACGTTAACCAGTCGGTCCACCCTGTCGCAATTTGAGGAAAAAATCCCGCGCTGCGACGTTGCGCACTCGATTGCGTCAGTCGTGGTACGTGACCGACGTAAACCACTCGGCGCGCTGTGCTCCTCCGCGCGGCTCGCGACCTCGCGGCATGGCGGGCGGCGGTCGCCCCGAGGGGTACCGCGAGGGGCGCGGGTGGAAGGCGCGCGTGCTGTCGACCACGGCCACTGGAGGTATGTTGGTGCGCCGGTTGTTCAAAAGCCACCTCATACAGTGAGGGGCGCGCGCGGTAGGCGCGCGTGCTGTCGACGACGGCCACTGGAGGTATGTTGGTGCGCCGGTTGTTCAAAAGCCACCTCATACAGTGAGGGGCGCGCGCGGTAGGCGCGCGTGCTGTCGACGACGGCCACTGGAGGTATGTTGGTGCGCCGGTTGTTCAAAAGCCACCTCATACAGTGAGGGGCGCGCGCGGTAGGCGCGCGTGCTGTCGACGACGGCCACTGGAGGTATGTTGGTGCGCCGGTTGTTCAAAAGCCACCTCATACAGTGAGGGGCGCGCGCGGTAGGCGCGCGTGCTGTCGACGACGGCCACTGGAGGTATGTTGGTGCGCCGGTTGTTCAAAAGCCACCTCATACAGTGAGGGGCGCGCGCGGTAGGCGCGCGTGCTGTCGACGACGGCCACTGGAGGTATGTTGGTGCGCCGGTTGTTCAAAAGCCACCTCATACAGTGAGGGGCGCGCGCGGTAGGCGCGCGTGCTGTCGACGACGGCCACTGGAGGTATGTTGGTGCGCCGCTTGTTCAAAAGCCACCTCATACAGTGAGGGGCGCGCGCGGTAGGCGCGCGTGCTGTCGACGACGGCCACTGGAGGTATGTTGGTGCGCCGGTTGTTCAAAAGCCACCTCATACAGTGAGGGGCGCGCGCGGTAGGCGCGCGTGCTGTCGACGACGGCCACTGGAGGTATGTTGGTGCGCCGCTTGTTCAAAAGCCACCTCATACAGTGAGGGGCGCGCGCGGTAGGCGCGCGTGCTGTCGACGACGGCCACTGGAGGTATGTTGGTGCGCCGCTTGTTCAAAAGCCACCTCATACAGTGAGGGGCGCGCGCGGTAGGCGCGCGTGCTGTCGACGACGGCCACTGGAGGTATGTTGGTGCGCCGGTTGTTCAAAAGCCACCTCATACAGTGAGGGGCGCGCGCGGTAGGCGCGCGTGCTGTCGACGACGGTCACTGGAGGTATGTTGGTGCGCCGGTTGTTCAAAAGCCACCTCATACAGTGAGGGGCGCGCGCGGTAGGCGCGCGTGCTGTCGACGACGGCCACTGGAGGTATGTTGGTGCGCCGGTTGTTCAAAAGCCACCTCATACAGTGAGGGGCGCGCGCGGTAGGCGCGCGTGCTGTCGACGACGGCCACTGGAGGTATGTTGGTGCGCCGCTTGTTCAAAAGCCACCTCATACAGTGAGGGGCGCGCGCGGTAGGCGCGCGTGCTGTCGACGACGGCCACTGGAGGTATGTTGGTGCGCCGGTTGTTCAAAAGCCACCTCATACAGTGAGGGGCGCGCGCGGTAGGCGCGCGTGCTGTCGACGACGGCCACTGGAGGTATGTTGGTGCGCCGGTTGTTCAAAAGCCACCTCATACAGTGAGGGGCGCGCGCGGTAGGCGCGCGTGCTGTCGACGACGGCCACTGGAGGTATGTTGGTGCGCCGGTTGTTCAAAAGCCACCTCATACAGTGAGGGGCGCGCGCGGTAGGCGCGCGTGCTGTCGACGACGGCCACTGGAGGTATGTTGGTGCGCCGGTTGTTCAAAAGCCACCTCATACAGTGAGGGGCGCGCGCGGTAGGCGCGCGTGCTGTCGACGACGGCCACTGGAGGTATGTTGGTGCGCCGCTTGTTCAAAAGCCACCTCATACAGTGAGGGGCGCGCGCGGTAGGCGCGCGTGCTGTCGACGACGGCCACTGGAGGTATGTTGGTGCGCCGCTTGTTCAAAAGCCACCTCATACAGTGAGGGGCGCGCGCGGTAGGCGCGCGTGCTGTCGACGACGGCCACTGGAGGTATGTTGGTGCGCCGGTTGTTCAAAAGCCACCTCATACAGTGAGGGGCGCGCGCGGTAGGCGCGCGTGCTGTCGACGACGGCCACTGGAGGTATGTTGGTGCGCCGCTTGTTCAAAAGCCACCTCATACAGTGAGGGGCGCGCGCGGTAGGCGCGCGTGCTGTCGACGACGGCCACTGGAGGTATGTTGGTGCGCCGCTTGTTCAAAAGCCACCTCATACAGTGAGGGGCGCGCGCGGTAGGCGCGCGTGCTGTCGACGACGGCCACTGGAGGTATGTTGGTGCGCCGCTTGTTCAAAAGCCACCTCATACAGTGAGGGGCGCGCGCGGTAGGCGCGCGTGCTGTCGACGACGGCCACTGGAGGTATGTTGGTGCGCCGCTTGTTCAAAAGCCACCTCATACAGTGAGGGGCGCGCGCGGTAGGCGCGCGTGCTGTCGACGACGGCCACTGGAGGTATGTTGGTGCGCCGGTTGTTCAAAAGCCACCTCATACAGTGAGGGGCGCGCGCGGTAGGCGCGCGTGCTGTCGACGACGGCCACTGGAGGTATGTTGGTGCGCCGGTTGTTCAAAAGCCACCTCATACAGTGAGGGGCGCGCGCGGTAGGCGCGCGTGCTGTCGACGACGGCCACTGGAGGTATGTTGGTGCGCCGCTTGTTCAAAAGCCACCTCATACAGTGAGGGGCGCGCGCGGTAGGCGCGCGTGCTGTCGACGACGGCCACTGGAGGTATGTTGGTGCGCCGGTTGTTCAAAAGCCACCTCATACAGTGAGGGGCGCGCGCGGTAGGCGCGCGTGCTGTCGACGACGGCCACTGGAGGTATGTTGGTGCGCCGGTTGTTCAAAAGCCACCTCATACAGTGAGGGGCGCGCGCGGTAGGCGCGCGTGCTGTCGACGACGGCCACTGGAGGTATGTTGGTGCGCCGGTTGTTCAAAAGCCACCTCATACAGTGAGGGGCGCGCGCGGTAGGCGCGCGTGCTGTCGACGACGGCCACTGGAGGTATGTTGGTGCGCCGGTTGTTCAAAAGCCACCTCATACAGTGAGGGGCGCGCGCGGTAGGCGCGCGTGCTGTCGACGACGGCCACTGGAGGTATGTTGGTGCGCCGCTTGTTCAAAAGCCACCTCATACAGTGAGGGGCGCGCGCGGTAGGCGCGCGTGCTGTCGACGACGGCCACTGGAGGTATGTTGGTGCGCCGGTTGTTCAAAAGCCACCTCATACAGTGAGGGGCGCGCGCGGTAGGCGCGCGTGCTGTCGACGACGGCCACTGGAGGTATGTTGGTGCGCCGGTTGTTCAAAAGCCACCTCATACAGTGAGGGGCGCGCGCGGTAGGCGCGCGTGCTGTCGACGACGGCCACTGGAGGTATGTTGGTGCGCCGGTTGTTCAAAAGCCACCTCATACAGTGAGGGGCGCGCGCGGTAGGCGCGCGTGCTGTCGACGACGGCCACTGGAGGTATGTTGGTGCGCCGGTTGTTCAAAAGCCACCTCATACAGTGAGGGGCGCGCGCGGTAGGCGCGCGTGCTGTCGACGACGGCCACTGGAGGTATGTTGGTGCGCCGGTTGTTCAAAAGCCACCTCATACAGTGAGGGGCGCGCGCGGTAGGCGCGCGTGCTGTCGACGACGGCCACTGGAGGTATGTTGGTGCGCCGGTTGTTCAAAAGCCACCTCATACAGTGAGGGGCGCGTGCGGTAGGCGCGCGTGCTGTCGACGACGGCCACTGGAGGTATGTTGGTGCGCCGGTTGTTCAAAAGCCACCTCATACAGTGAGGGGCGCGCGCGGTAGGCGCGCGTGCTGTCGACGACGGCCACTGGTGGTATGTTGGTGCGCCGCTTATTCAAAAGCCACCTCATACAGTGAGGGGCGCGCGCGGTAGGCGCGCGTGCTGTCGACGACGGCCACTGGAGGTATGTTGGTGCGCCGGTTGTTCAAAAGCCACCTCATACAGTGAGGGGCGCGCGCGGTAGGCGCGCGTGCTGTCGACGACGGCCACTGGAGGTATGTTGGTGCGCCGGTTGTTCAAAAGCCACCTCATACAGTGAGGGGCGCGCGCGGTAGGCGCGCGTGCTGTCGACGACGGCCACTGGAGGTATGTTGGTGCGCCGGTTGTTCAAAAGCCACCTCATACAGTGAGGGGCGCGCGCGGTAGGCGCGCGTGCTGTCGACGACGGCCACTGGAGGTATGTTGGTGCGCCGGTTGTTCAAAAGCCACCTCATACAGTGAGGGGCGCGCGCGGTAGGCGCGCGTGCTGTCGACGACGGCCACTGGAGGTATGTTGGTGCGCCGGTTGTTCAAAAGCCACCTCATACAGTGAGGGGCGCGCGCGGTAGGCGCGCGTGCTGTCGACGACGGCCACTGGAGGTATGTTGGTGCGCCGCTTGTTCAAAAGCCACCTCATACAGTGAGGGGCGCGCGCGGTAGGCGCGCGTGCTGTCGACGACGGCCACTGGAGGTATGTTGGTGCGCCGGTTGTTCAAAAGCCACCTCATACAGTGAGGGGCGCGCGCGGTAGGCGCGCGTGCTGTCGACGACGGCCACTGGAGGTATGTTGGTGCGCCGCTTGTTCAAAAGCCACCTCATACAGTGAGGGGCGCGCGCGGTAGGCGCGCGTGCTGTCGACGACGGCCACTGGAGGTATGTTGGTGCGCCGCTTGTTCAAAAGCCACCTCATACAGTGAGGGGCGCGCGCGGTAGGCGCGCGTGCTGTCGACGACGGCCACTGGAGGTATGTTGGTGCGCCGCTTGTTCAAAAGCCACCTCATACAGTGAGGGGCGCGCGCGGTAGGCGCGCGTGCTGTCGACGACGGCCACTGGAGGTATGTTGGTGCGCCGCTTGTTCAAAAGCCACCTCATACAGTGAGGGGCGCGCGCGGTAGGCGCGCGTGCTGTCGACGACGGCCACTGGAGGTATGTTGGTGCGCCGGTTGTTCAAAAGCCACCTCATACAGTGAGGGGCGCGCGCGGTAGGCGCGCGTGCTGTCGACGACGGCCACTGGAGGTATGTTGGTGCGCCGGTTGTTCAAAAGCCACCTCATACAGTGAGGGGCGCGCGCGGTAGGCGCGCGTGCTGTCGACGACGGCCACTGGAGGTATGTTGGTGCGCCGCTTGTTCAAAAGCCACCTCATACAGTGAGGGGCGCGCGCGGTAGGCGCGCGTGCTGTCGACGACGGCCACTGGAGGTATGTTGGTGCGCCGCTTGTTCAAAAGCCACCTCATACAGTGAGGGGCGCGCGCGGTAGGCGCGCGTGCTGTCGACGACGGCCACTGGAGGTATGTTGGTGCGCCGGTTGTTCAAAAGCCACCTCATACAGTGAGGGGCGCGCGCGGTAGGCGCGCGTGCTGTCGACGACGGCCACTGGAGGTATGTTGGTGCGCCGGTTGTTCAAAAGCCACCTCATACAGTGAGGGGCGCGCGCGGTAGGCGCGCGTGCTGTCGACGACGGCCACTGGAGGTATGTTGGTGCGCCGGTTGTTCAAAAGCCACCTCATACAGTGAGGGGCGCGCGCGGTAGGCGCGCGTGCTGTCGACCACAGCCACTGGAGATATGTTGGTGCGCCGGTTGTTCAAAAGCCACCTCATACAGTGAGGGGCGCGCGCGGTAGGCGCGCGTGCTGTCGACGACGGCCACTGGAGGTATGTTGGTGCGCCGGTTGTTCAAAAGCCACCTCATACAGTGAGGGGCGCGCGCGGTAGGCGCGCATGCTGTCGACCACGGCCACTGGAGGTATGTTCGGTGTGCGACGGGGATGGATGTGCGTTGGTGAAAGGTGGTGACTTGGATCTCCTCGCAGGTGGGAGGCGCGCGTGCTGTCGACCACGGCCACTGGAGGTATGTTGGCGCGACGGGAGGTGGATCGTTGAAGCAGGACGGGTGTTAATGAAAGTGGGGGTGCTGGTGTTAATGGCAGGGATTGGCGGGGAGTGGTGATAATGGCGATAAAGGAAGCGGCACCACCGCCAGCAGCACCGACTTATGAGTTGCCTCAAGATCCCGCCCTCTTGCTTCCCCCAATCCCTCTCCTATCAGCTGTGTTGGGAATGGCTTGGGGAGTGGTGGCCTCCTTCTTGCTCCTCTTCCCCCAACCCCTCCCCCTGTCAGCCGTGCTGGGAATGGCGGGTGGAGTGGCGGCAGCAGCGGCGGGGGCAGCACCAGCAGCAGCAGCAACACTGACTTTTGAGCCACCTCATAATGCCTTCTTCTTGCCTCCTCTTCGTCAGAATTCTCTAGAATGACTCCTTACTTCCCCCCATTCTTTTCCTGTCAGCTGTGTTGGGAATGGCGGGAGGCATGGCGGCAGCAGCGGTGGGGGCAGCACCGCCAGCAGCAGCAATCGTTGCTGTTACGAGCAACTGCTGCATCGCTGCTTTCTGTGTGGCAGGTAGGACGTGGGGGAGGTAATGTGTGGGGGAGGTAGTTTGTGTGGGTTAGGTAGTGTGTGGGGCAACAGCAACAGTAGCAGCAGCAGCAGTGGGGGCAGCACCGCCAGCAGCAGCGATCGTTGCTGTAACCAGCAACTGCTGCATCGCTGCTTTCTGTGTGGCAGATAGTGTGTGTGCGTTTTCCCTGTTTCCCAATCTCCCCATTCCCCCCCACTCCTTTATCCCTTTCTTGAGACTTCTCCAAACCCTGAAGAGACTGTACCGTACTCTCCATCTCTCACCCCTTCCTCTTCACTCTACTGCACACACTATCTGCACCCCCAGCAGCCCGTTGATGGTGCTTCTCCTGGGCCTCAGACCCCTCCTTTACCCACCTTCCCCTCCCCATACCCTTCCCCGGCCCTTCTCTCCGCCTACCCCTGCGCCCCCCTTCCTTCCTTCCTCCAGCACGCAGGTCTGGAGGAGGCAGTAAGAGAGGTGCGCTACTCTCTAGACTCTGACCCCACCTACGGGCTGCTGGGGGTGATTAGACCACTCCCCTACCCGCCCTTCCCCCCTTACCCACACTCTCGCAGGTCTGGAGGAGGCAGTGAGGGAGGTGCGATTCTCCCTTGCCGCTGACCCCATCAACGGGCTGCTGGGGGGCGCTCTGGCTGGTGCTCTGTTTGGCCGGCTGAGGGGTGAGTCGGTTGGGAGTGGTGTGATGTGAAGGGGTGGGATAAGTGGGGGCTGGAAAGACACGGGTATGTTTTGGAAGGGTGAGGGAGGTGCGCTTCTTCGTCCCTTGCCTCTGACCCCACCAACGGGCTGCTGGGAGGCGCTCTGGCTGGTGCTCTCTTTGGCCGGCTGAGGGGTGAGTCGGTTGGGAGTGGTGTGAAGGGTTGGGATAAGAGGGTGGTTGGGAAGACACGGGTAGGTGTTGGAAGGGTGAGGGAAGTGCGATTCTCTCTGGCCTCCGACCCCACCAACGGGCTGCTGGGAGGCGCTCTCGCTGGAGCACTGTTTGGGCGGCTGAGGGGTGAGAAGAGGGGGAGGGGGGTGGTAGGAAGGTGAGAGGGGTGTGGGGATGGAGAGAGGTGGGAGAGTGGGGTAAGAGGGAGGTCCACGTCTCTCTCTCTTCCCTCCGACCCCACCAACAGGCTGCTTGGGGGCGCTCTCGGTGGAGCGCTGAATGCCCTTTAATCTTCTGCGAGGGGGGGTGAGGAGGGTGAGAGGGAGGGGTGAGGGGGAGAGGTGAGAGGAAAGGGTGAGAAGGAGAGATGGGGAGCGAGGGGTGAGAAGGAGAGGTGGGGAGGGAAAGGTGAGAGGGCGGGTGGGGAGGGGGAGAAGGGGGAGGGGATGATGTGGGTCAATCATGGAGTGCAGGCAACAGAGAATTAAGTCGGAGGGGGTATAGCTGGAGTGTACTTCCATCTTTACTTTAGCTGTCGATGGAGCGTAAGAAAAAACTCTATGTTTCCTTTACGCCCCCTGTTTCGTTTCCCCTCCACCTCTCTGTCCTCCAGGCAGCAGAGACATCGCCATCCGGGCAGCTGTAATGTTTGGCCTGGCTGGGGCAGGGCACCGGGCAACCGTGGAAAGTTTCAAGGAGTGGCGCATTCAGCAGCTCCTGGCTGCCCGTGTAGCCGGCCACACAGGCAGCCCTCACTCCTCCCATGCAGCCATAGCAGCAGAGAGAGATGAGCATGTGACAGCCGCCCTTCCTGCCTCCCATGCACACGTGGCAACAGACACAGATGGGCGTGTTACTGCAACGGATGGTGGGAGTGAAAGCACAGCAGCCACTGCAGCAGCATCACCTGCCATAGGAGGCGTGGGGAAGCAGGGCGTGGGGGAGCGGGGCGTGGGGGAGCGGGGCGTGGGGGAGCGGGGCGTGGGGGAGCGGGGCGATCAGGCAGGGGTGAAGGCGGGAGGGCGGTGGGAGTGGCCAGAATGGCTTCCTGTGAGGCGGCTAGGTGAGGAGGAGGTGAAGCGGCGGCAGGAGGAGTTCAGACAGAGAGTGGCAGCAGCACAGCGGCTGGAAATGGCTGGTTCAGGGAGGGAGGCTGGCATTGGAGGTGCAGAGGGGAGGAAAAAGGGCGAATGAGGGTTGGCACCAGGAGCAGGTGAATGAGCAGGCGGGTGACCGAGGAGGAGGTGAAGCGGCGACAGGAGTTCATATAGCGATTGGTGTGGAAAGCGATTGGTGGGGGGAAGGTAGGCGTGGAAGGGGCAGGAGAGAAGTTGAAGTGAGTGAGGGCATAAGGTTCAACAGACGGCTGGGTGAAGCAGCGGCAGGAGGAGTTCAGATGAGAACAGTGCAACGTCTGGCAATGGCTGGTGCAGGGAGGGAGGGAGGCGTGGGAGATACCAGGAGGGGGAGAAGGCAGGGGGCTGACGATATCAGACTTAATTGTCTGATTAGTCTGACGAATCAGACCTATGAGGAGGAGGGATAGCATAGGGATATGGTAGATGAGGTGCATGAGCTGAATCTCTTGAGCGGTTTTTTTCGCACTTGATCCTGCTGCTTAAGGACGTGCTTTAACACACTGCAGCTCTTGGTTTCACAGTTCTGCCAATTTGGACTTGGCATGTCCAGATTTTGCAGGTGGCAATGCAGAGCACCAACCAGAAATGCCTTTCGCACGTGATTGCTGCATTTCGTCATGTGACTGACTGTATGCTATGCATGCATGCCACTGGCTGTACGGTGCTTTAGTCACGACTACTGCAGTTTAAGAATCTCAACTACTGTATGTGGAGAAAGGTTACATGCAGTACAGGCTACTGCATAACACAGCAAATCACTACTGCATACACTGTACCTACTTGTTAATATCACCTCCTACCGTAAACTGTATAGCCTCCAAAATGGAAGTATTAAGACATGAACTCTATTCCAAACTGGTGGTACATTCTCGTGCGAAACATACCACGCTGGCATTATCCGTCTGTCCGCCCATCCTGCCTTTGCCCTCCTCCCAACCACACTAGTATAGCCCCATCTCTCCGTTGCTCGCCCCTCACTGCTCCTCATCCTCGCTCCCATCCCCCAGGGACGCAGTGTTGGGGTCTTCAGGAGGGGAGGACACGCACTTGGTGGCGTCAGGGTCGCACCCATCGTACTCCTGCAGGTCTGAGCGCGAGGCGAGCTGCTCTTTAGTGAAGCACGCACAGCGCGTGTCCTCACTGCCCCCCACTGGCCCCCCTTCTGCCTCGGGGATTCGGGGAATTTTACGAGGAACCCCGCTGTCACACCACACCTGGTGGAGAGAGAGAGGATAGAAGGGATGGGGGGAAGGAGGGAGGAAGGAGAATGTGGGGAGAAGGACACACACTTGACAGCGTCAGGGTCGCACCCATCATACAGCTGCAGGTCAGAGCGCGAGGTGAGCTGCTCCTTGGTGAAGCACGGACAGCGACTGTCCTCACTGCCCCCCACTGGCCCTCCCTCAGCCTCTGGGATTCGGGGGATCTTCCTGGGAACCCCACTGTCACACCACACCTGGGAGAGAGAGGGAAAGAGAGATGGAGGGGATGACGGGGGCGAGGAAAGAATGAGGAGGTTAGAGCACGCACAGCGCATGTCCTCACTGCCCCCCACCGGGCCGCTCTCCGCCTCTGGGATTCGGGGGATCTTCCTGGGAACCCCACTGTCACACCACACCTGGGAAAGAGAGGGAAAGAGAGATGGAGGGGATGACAGGGGCGAGGAAAGAATGAGGAGGTTAGAGCACGCACAGCGCATGTCCTCACTGCCCCCCACCGGGCCGCTCTCCGTCTCTGAGATTCGGGGGATCTTACGGGGCACCCCACTGTCACGCCACACCTGGGAGAGCAGGAGAGAGGGGTGGAAGGATGGAGGGAGGGAAGGCGATGGTAAGGAGGAGGAAGGAACGAGAAGGATCTTCCAAGTCACACCACAGTCACACAGACGACTTTTGAGGCGCCTCAAAGATCTTCCAGAGCACACCACAGTCACACAGACGACTTTTGAGGCGCCTCAAAGATCTTCCAGAGCACACCACAGTCACACAGACGACTTTTGAGGCGCCTCAAAGATCTTCCAGAGCACACCACAGTCACACAGACGACTTTTGAGGCGCCTCAAAGATCTTCCAGAGCACACCACAGTCACACAGACGACTTTTGAGGCGCCTCAAAAATCTTCCAGAGCACACCACAGTCACACAGACGACTTTTGAGGCGCCTCAAAGATCTTCCAGAGCACACCACAGTCACACAGACGACTTTTGAGGCGCCTCAAAGATCTTCCAGAGCACACCACAGTCACACAGACGACTTTTGAGGCGCCTCAAAGATCTTCCAGAGCACACCACAGTCACACAGACGACTTTTGAGGCGCCTCAAAGATCTTCCAGAGCACACCACAGTCACACAGACGACTTTTGAGGCGCCTCAAAAATCTTCCAGAGCACACCACAGTCACACAGACGACTTTTGAGGCGCCTCAAAGATCTTCCAGAGCACACCACAGTCACACAGACGACTTTTGAGGCGCCTCAAAGATCTTCCAGAGCACACCACAGTCACACAGACGACTTTTGAGGCGCCTCAAAGATCTTCCAGAGCACACCACAGTCACACAGACGACTTTTGAGGCGCCTCAAAGATCTTCCAGAGCACACCACAGTCACACAGACGACTTTTGAGGCGCCTCAAAGATCTTCCAGAGCACACCACAGTCACACAGACGACTTTTGAGGCGCCTCAAAGATCTTCCAGAGCACACCACAGTCACACAGCAGCTGGAATGAAGGGATATCGATGATGGAGAGGGGGGGAGAATGGGGTTGGGCGTGAGGTGGGGCCAGGGAGCGGAGAGGAGAAGTGGGTGGGTCGGGGAGTGTGGTAGTCAGGTGGAAGCGTGGTTGCTCGAACCTGGTGTGGCGTGGAGTCAGATGAAGCGGCCAAGGGGGTGGGGAAGTGGGGATGGGTGAATGGGGAAGGGGGTGGGGAGAGTGGGGAGGGGAAGAAGCGAAGAGAGGAGGCTGTACCTTGCCGCCTTCGTTCTGAGCCCACCGCGAGTTGCATCCAGGGCACTTCTTCTCCACCTCCTTGGCATTCTTAGACGTACCACAAGTCACGAAGGAAAAGCAGGGTGGGGAGGGGGTACGAGCGGGGAGGGGGACAGGGAGCAATAGCGAAGAGAGAGGCTGGCCTCACCTTGCCACCCTCATTCTGCGCCCATCGCGAGTTGCACCTGGGGTGTTTCTTCTCCGCTGCCTTGGCCAATGAGACGTCTCAAGCGATGAGTGTTGAAAAGGGCGTGGGGAGAGATGCACAGGGAGGGAGGAGCTCGGAAGGAGCGGGGATTTGGGAAGGAGGCGCCTTACCTTGCCGCCCTCGTTCTGAGCCCATCGCGAGTTGCACCCAGGGTATTTCTTCTCCACCACCTTAGCCACGTCCCTCAGCCGCTTGCCCTCCTTCAAAAGAACGTCAAACTCCCCCAGTGCATCTCTTGGCTTCCCCTGCTAGTCGTAAAACCGCCCCACCAGCTTCCCCACGTGGCTGCGAGTGGAGAGAGGCAAGGAAGGGCAAGGAGGAGAAAGGGTGAATGCTGAGAGCCTTGGCCACGTCCCTCAGCCGCTTGCCCTCCTTCAGCAGCTCGTCAAACTCGCCCAGCGCATCTCTTCGCTTCCCCTGCTCGTCGTAAAACCGCCCCACCTGCTTCCCCACGTGGCTGGTAGCAGGGAAAGGCAAGGAAAGGAAAGGAAGGAAAGTACAAGGAAAGGACAGGAAAGACAAGCAGAAACGAGAGACGGAGGGTTAAATTTTCCCCAAGAGCACCCGTCGCCCGTCCTGCTTCCCACGTGACTGATGCCGCAGGGGTGGGAGACAGACGGGATGGAGGAAGGTGGAAGGTACACGAGAGTGCGATGCAAGGGGCTTGTGAGAGGGTGGTCATGCAGAGACTAAACACCTGGGAGGGACTGCTGTAAGGTGAGAGTTGTAGGATTGAAGCACATGTATGTATGTCTTCAAGTAGGATTTGCAGCAGTCAGCAATGCCAATGCACTGCTCGCCTGACAGGCTGGCTGTCCCTTGCTTGCATTCTTGTCACACCCAGCCACAGACAGTGGGTGGGGTGCTGAGCCCCAACGCATGCACTTGATTGTCTCATGCACTGGAAGCCCCTTCTCACATGCGGCCTTTTTTTTATGTCTCCAAAATATCTTCTTGCACTGGAAGTCCTCCTCACATGTAAGTAGAAGTCCCGCCAGTCAGCGATGCCAATGCACTGCTCGCTCCCCTCACACGCTTTCTCCCCACATCCACCACTCATGCACACGATCGTTTCATACATAAATGGAGCAGCTCACATGTAAGTTTTGAAGTAGAAGTCCCGCCAGTCAGCGATGCCGATGCACTGCTCCCCTGACAGGCCCGTCAGGTCGTCCGTTAAGCCGTCGCCTGCAAGGGCGCGAGGGATGGGAAGGGGTGGAAAGGGGTTGAAATGGGAGGGAGAGGGTGGGGAAAGGGAGGGTGTGTGTACCTGTGGTGCCATGTGGTGTCAAGCGGTGTTGGAGGTTGATGGATGGTCAGCTATGGACAAGGGAGCTCAATTTGAATAGGACGAAGGCTTACCACACATACGTGGCATGCTACGGTATGGCACAGTCTGGCATGGTATGGTATGATCTGAAATATTTTGGTATGGTTTCTTATGGAATGGTATCGTATGCTCTGATGGCATTGCATGGCATGGCATGGCATGGCACGGCATGGCATGGCATGGCATGGCATGGCATGGCAAGGCATGGCATGGCATGGCACGGCACGGCACGGCATGGCATGGCATGGCATGGCATGGCATGGCATGGCATGGCAAGGCATGGCATGGCATGGTATGGCATGGCATGGCATGGCATGGCATGGCATGGCATGGCATGGCATGGCACGGCATGGTATGGTATGGCCCCAACATACCTGAGAAATTGCCTGAGACGAATGCCCTGGTGGCATCCCTGTGAGAACAGATTCATGCAGACGGGGGGGGGCGTGAGGGAGAGGGCGAGGTGTGAGTGAGGGGGAAAGCGTGAGAGAGGAGCGTGGAGGAGAACTGAGAGACGGTGTGAAAAAGGTTGCCAAATGGGGAAAGGGGTAGAGAGCAGGGAAGTAGAAGGGAGGCAGAGGCAGACAGTGGCAGAGGCTGTCAGCAACAGCCACTGGAGCAGCAGCAGCAGCAGCAGCAGCAGCAGCAGCAGCAGCAGCAGCACGCAGTGGCCTGGAAACCGCGTCCAGCGCACCAGCAGATGCTTCGAATTCAGTGTGAGATTGCTCCAGGCATGTTCCAAGCATGTTCCAAGCATGTTCCGAGCATGTTCCAAGCATGTTCCGAGCATGTTCCAAGCATGTTGCAAGCATGTTCGGTGCAGAGTGCGGTTTAACTGACCGGCCAGCGAAGTGGTTGTACCCCTGCCCCTTGCCGTAGTGCTTCCTGCCCTTGCTCACGTCAAACACGTCCCTGCATGTGGGGTACAGCGTATGGGGTATGGGGTATGGCGTATGGGTATGGGGTGTGGGGTATGGGTATGGGGCATGGGGCATTGGGCATGGGGCATGGGGCATTGGGCATGGGGCATGGGGCATTGGGCATGGGGCATGGGGCATTGGGCATGGGGCATTGGGCATGGGGCATGGGGCATTGGGCATGGGGCATGGGGCATGGGGCATGGGGCATGGGGCATGGGGCATTGGGGCATTGGGGCATTGGGCATGGGGCATGGGGCATGGGGCATGGGGCATGGGGCATGGGGCAAGGGGCATTGGGGCATTGGGGCATTGGGCATGGGGCATTGGGCATGGGGCATGGGGCATTGGGCATGGGGCATTGGGCATGGGGCATGGGGCATTGGGCATGGGGCATTGGGCATGGGGCATGGGGCATGGGGCATTGGGCATGGGGCATGGGGCATTGGGCATGGGGCATTGGGCATGGGGCATTGGGCATGGGGCATTGGGCATGGGGCATGGGGCATTGGGCATGGGGCATTGGGCATGGGGCATGGGGCATGGGGCATTGGGCATGGGGCATGGGGCATTGGGCATGGGGCATGGGGCATTGGGCATGGGGCATGGGGCATTGGGCATGGGGCATGGGGCATTGGGCATGGGGCATGGGGCATTGGGCATGGGGCATGGGGCATTGGGCATGGGGCATGGGGCATTGGGCATGGGGCATGGGGCATTGGGGCATTGGGCATGGGGCATTGGGCATGGGGCATGGGGCATTGGGCATGGGGCATGGGGCATTGGGCATGGGGCATGGGGCATTGGGCATGGGGCATGGGGCATTGGGCATGGGGCATGGGGCATTGGGCATGGGGCATGGGGCATTGGGCATGGGGCATGGGGCATTGGGCATGGGGCATGGGGCATTGGGCATGGGGCATGGGGCATTGGGCATGGGGCATGGGCATTGGGCATGGGGCATGGGGCATTGGGCATGGGGCATGGGGCATTGGGCATGGGGCATGGGGCATTGGGCATGGGGCATGGGGCATTGGGCATGGGGCATGGGGCATTGGGTATGGGGCATGGGGCATTGGGCATGGGGCATGGGGCATTGGGCATGGGGCATGGGGCATTGGGCATGGGGCATGGGGCATTGGGCATGGGGCATGGGGCATTGGGCATGGGGCATGGGGCATTGGGCATGGGGCATGGGGCATTGGGCATGGGGCATGGGGCATTGGGCATGGGGCATGGGGCATTGGGCATGGGGCATTGGGCATGGGGCATGGGGCATTGGGCATGGGGCATGGGGCATTGGGCATGGGGCATGGGGCATTGGGCATGGGGCATGGGGCATTGGGCATGGGGCATGGGGCATTGGGCATGGGGCATGGGGCATTGGGCATGGGGCATGTGGCATTGGGCATGGGGCATGGGGCATTGGGCATGGGGCATGGGGCATTGGGCATGGGGCATGGGGTATGGGGCATTGGGCATGGGGCATTGGGCATGGGGCATGGGGCATTGGGCATGGGGCATGGGGCATTGGGCATGGGGCATTGGGCATGGGGCATGGGGCATTGGGCATGGGGCATGGGGCATTGGGCATGGGGCATGGGGCATTGGGCATGGGGCATGGGGCATTGGGCATGGGGCATGGGGCATTGGGCATGGGGCATGGGGCATTGGGCATGGGGCATGGGGCATTGGGCATGGGGCATGGGGCATTGGGCATGGGGCATGGGGCATTGGGCATGGGGCATGGGGTATGGGGCATTGGGCATGGGGCATGGGACATTGGGCATGGGGCATGGGGTATGGGGCATTGGGCATGGCAACGCCATGAGATCTGAACTGACTTCAACAGCACACATGTACACACCCATGGGGGGCATCTAACAGCTCCCACTCTTCACTCAAACCTAGCATAGCTTGCCCACTCCCCACTCAGCCTCGCCTGAGCACTCCCCACTCACCCACGCATTTATCCGACTAACCCCACGCCCCACTCACCCCAGAATGCCCAGCAGCAGTGGAACGCCCTTTCTCGACCCGTTGTACTTGGCCAGCTCCTCCGCGCTCCACAGCTTCTGTTACAAACGAGGCGTTCACAAGCGAGACAGTTACGAACGCGACAGGTCAGTCATAAGCGAGGCACGGCCGCAAGCAAGGCAGATGGGAAGAGGCGGAGTGAGAATCCAGCAAGGGAGAGAGTCGGAGTCGCGCGGCTGGAGAAACATGCGGTTAGCGGACCGAGGGTGTGATGTGTGTGATGCGCCGCTGTTGACGTTTGAAATGCCTTAGACATCGGTTCAGCTGACAGAGAGTGGTATGTGTGTGATGCACGTTACTGTTGAGACGCCTAGAGGATGTATATCCGAGTTACATGTTGGATGGGTTGGCAAGAACGGATCGCAGCCATTGCGACGCACTCAGCGAATCCGCGACGCGCATCGGCGACGCATCCTGCGACGAACGCAGCGACTCACATCGGCTTGCCATTGGGCTTTCCGCGGGTTGGACCGCGTCGCAGCCTTCTCGACGGGCGGTTCGCTTTCGAACTCCTCGTCGTCGTCGATCGCGACAAACTCGCTGTATTCCCGCCACAAATAATAACCCGCGCCCGCCGCTGCCGCCACCAGAACCACGAGCAACAGCACGAGCCAGCCGGACCGCCGGCGCGGCGACGCGCCACGTGGCTTCGCCTTATCCTTCAACGCGTCGGTATCGGATTTGATCGCGTTGCCGGCGTCCGGCGCGACGGACGGCTGCGATGCGTCGGCCGGCGTCCGGCGCTGCTTCAAGCGGACGCCTGCCGCTGTCGCCGTGGCCGTCGCTGCGATGCTCTCGCTCATCGTGAATGGAGGATAGTATGCGGCAGTATCCGACAGTATCCGACAAAATGGGATGGTACGCGACGATAGTATCCAACAATGCCAAGTGTCGCAGGTACTAAACTCCTCGTGAAGTAATGCTCGCCGCACTCCGCGGCGAAAAAACACAGGAAAACTGTGAATCTCCACTTCAGTCCACCTCCCGATCTGAATCTGCTGGGAGGCAATGGTGTAACTGAGATATTCCTTCGTGGCAATGAATTGTTGATGGGATGGGCTGCCGACAGGTCTCATGTGCTGTGCTGCGGATTTCCCTCCACCGCTCGCTGCGGAGTGCTTGTCTGGTCGCACGACAGTGGGATATTTCTCCCGCCAGCAGATTCCCTTCTTTCGCCTGAGCTCGCTCGCGACTCTCGCCCGACGTCGTCAATTTGATTCTCGAGAAGTTCGGTGGTCGGTGCTTCAAAGCCAGGATCTCACTGGACAACCAGATGAAACCTCGAATTCCATTGGAGAACGAGCAGCTTCGAGAACATCGCGAATCTAGCAACGAGACTGAATGCTTTCGCAAAGCAGCAGGGAAATGTCATAGGGAGTACAGGAATGACCGAATACATTGACCGCTTTATTATGCTATTTGACAGCTGTAGAACGTAAAGTATCTCACTGAGCCGCATTCTTACAGACTTTCCCCCTCCCGTGCCTTCCCTTCCACTCCCATCCCCTTCCAGGTCGTTGATCAGTATCTCTTCAAACAAATTTGCCGCCAAATTATTACAAGGCTGGCGCGTTCATATCCGACACGTCAGCTCAGCCGGGCTGTCCATCCCTCGATCCTTCTCGCGACACGCCAGTACTCCGTGGCCGCGTCCGCAGCGAGGCGATCGCCATCGCTGTTTCAGGACTAGGACACCGTCGTTCTCTCAATCACCTCAGTCTCCTAAATCTCCCAGAGCGAGCCTGAGAGAATGAGCGACGCTGGAGTGTGCGACGCCAGTAGTATGGGCGACGCAGGAGTGTGCGACGCTAGCGACCCTAAACTGAGTGTAAGTGACACGAGTGAGGCGAGTGCGCCGGCGAGTCAAGCGACGGAGGTGCTCGGCGCGCAGCAGGCGGTGATGATCTTCGTGAAGCGGCCGGCACCAGGACGAGTAAAGACCCGCCTGGCGGCCGGCGTGGGGGCGGACGCGGCGTGCGACTTCTACCGCGCGTGCTGCGAGCACGTCGTCGCCAGGGTCGTGCTCTGCCCCGACCTGTACGTGACTTTAACGAGGTGATTATAGAGTCAACTCAAAAGTCGCCTGTTACTGCGCGTGCTGCCAACACGTCGTCGCCAATATCGGGCGCTGCCCCGACCTGTGCGTGACTGTAACGAGGCGCAGGGTTCCCAACTGTAATGATGCTGTGCTCATCTACGTGACTTCTGACATGTGCAATGCGACCATCGCTGTGGTATAGTCTGCCTGCCGGCCTCATAGTTAGCAGTAGTAGCCTCTATATCACTCCGTCACACTGCTGGCTGTGATCTTCATTTCGATTATTCTTGACATTGCAGGTTTATTTTTTCAGAATTAAACAAAAAAAACGACCAACGCGTAGATGGATGTGGTCTTCATTCTGATGAGCCGTGGCTGTGGTGTGGCAGGCAGGCAGGCATCCACGCATGCCTTCATCTTCTTCTCTGAGCCGTCGGATGAAGGCGAGATCCGGCGGTGGATGCAGCAGCTGCTGCCAACCTCCACCTCCCTCCGCTTTGTGCCTCAGGTGAGGTCTCCACCTCACCTCAGCTCTGCAAGTTCCCCCAATTCTTACACCCCATTCTCACACCTCATTCTTACACCCCATTCTCACACCCATTGCTCATACCCCATTCTCACACCCAATTCTCACATCCCATGCTCACTCACACCCCCCCATGCTCACACCCCATGTCACACCCATGCAACCATCATTCGTACATGCAACACGCGCCTGTCACCCATATGCCAGAGTCCTTGCATGCATCGATCTCTCCCATACAACCATCCACGCATGTGGGGTGGGGGGAGACGTGGGGCCGCGCATGCAAGCAGCCCTCCGTAACCCTAATCCTGAAACCCTGGAACTTCGACCTAAAACGTTAACCCATGCAGTTGGGGGAGGAGACGTGGGTGTGTGCATGCAAGGAGTCTCTCTCTCACCACTTTAAACCCAAAAACCGAACCCTAGAACCGTGGCATGCAAGCAGCCTATCATGGTTGTACGACCGAAACTTAAACCCCCGAGTCCTAACCCAAGACTTCAACCCATGCAGGTGGGGGAGACCTGGGTGCATGCATGCAGGCAGCCTTCCCAGCCTTCCACGACCCTACATCCGAAACCCTAAACCCTCCAACCTTAACCCGAAACCTAAACCCATGCAGGTGGGGGGAGACGTGGGGCCGCGCATGCAAGCAGCCTTCCAGCACGTGCTGGGCCTGGGATACCAACGGGTGAGGGGTTAACGTAGGGGGAGCCTTTGGGGTGTATTGAGTTGACTCACCACGTGCTGGGCCTGGGATACCAACGGGTGAGGGGTTAACGTAGGGGGAGCCTTTGGGGTGTATTGAGTTGACTCACCACGTGCTGGGCCTGGGATACCAACGGGTGAGGGGTTAACGTAGGGGGAGCCTTTGGGGTGTATTGAGTTGACTCACCACGTGCTGGGCCTGGGATACCAACGGGTGAGGGGTTAACGTAGGGGGAGCCTTTGGGGTGTATTGAGTTGACTCACCACGTGCTGGGCCTGGGATACCAACGGGTGAGGGGTTAACGTAGGGGGAGCCTTTGGGGTGTATTGAGTTGACTCACCACGTGCTGGGCCTGGGATACCAACGGGTGAGGGGTTAACGTAGGGGGAGCCTTTGGGGTGTATTGAGTTGACTCACCACGTGCTGGGCCTGGGATACCAACGGGTGAGGGGTTAACGTAGGGGGAGCCTTTGGGGTGTATTGAGTTGACTCACCACGTGCTGGGCCTGGGATACCAACGGGTGAGGGGTTAACGTAGGGGGAGCCTTTGGGGTGTATTGAGTTGACTCACCACGTGCTGGGCCTGGGATACCAACGGGTGAGGGGTTAACGTAGGGGGAGCCTTTGGGGTGTATTGAGTTGACTCACCACGTGCTGGGCCTGGGATACCAACGGGTGAGGGGTTAACGTAGGGGGAGCCTTTGGGGTGTATTGAGTTGACTCACCACGTGCTGGGCCTGGGATACCAACGGGTGAGGGGTTAACGTAGGGGGAGCCTTTGGGGTGTATTGAGTTGACTCACCACGTGCTGGGCCTGGGATACCAACGGGTGAGGGGTTGACGTAGGGGGAGCCTTTGGGGTGTATTGAGTTGACTCACCACGTGCTGGGCCTGGGATACCAACGGGTGAGGGGTTAACGTAGGGGGAGCCTTTGGGGTGTATTGAGTTGACTCACCACGTGCTGGGCCTGGGATACCAACGGGTGAGGGGTTAACGTAGGGGGAGCCTTTGGGGTGTATTGAGTTGACTCACCACGTGCTGGGCCTGGGATACCAACGGGTGAGGGGTTAACGTAGGGGGAGCCTTTGGGGTGTATTGAGTTGACTCACCACGTGCTGGGCCTGGGATACCAACGGGTGAGGGGTTAACGTAGGGGGAGCCTTTGGGGTGTATTGAGTTGACTCACCACGTGCTGGGCCTGGGATACCAACGGGTGAGGGGATAACGTAGGGGGAGCCTTTGGGGTGTATTGAGTTGACTCACCACGTGCTGGGCCTGGGATACCAACGGGTGAGGGGTTAACGTAGGGGGAGCCTTTGGGGTGTATTGAGTTGACTCACCACGTGCTGGGCCTGGGATACCAACGGGTGAGGGGTTAACGTAGGGGGAGCCTTTGGGGTGTATTGAGTTGACTCACCACGTGCTGGGCCTGGGATACCAACGGGTGAGGGGTTAACGTAGGGGGAGCCTTTGGGGTGTATTGAGTTGACTCACCACGTGCTGGGCCTGGGATACCAACGGGTGAGGGGTTAACGTAGGGGGAGCCTTTGGGGTGTATTGAGTTGACTCACCACGTGCTGGGCCTGGGATACCAACGGGTGAGGGGTTAACGTAGGGGGAGCCTTTGGGGTGTATTGAGTTGACTCACCACGTGCTGGGCCTGGGATACCAACGGGTGAGGGGTTAACGTAGGGGGAGCCTTTGGGGTGTATTGAGTTGACTCACCACGTGCTGGGCCTGGGATACCAACGGGTGAGGGGTTAACGTAGGGGGAGCCTTTGGGGTGTATTGAGTTGACTCACCACGTGCTGGGCCTGGGATACCAACGGGTGAGGGGTTAACGTAGGGGGAGCCTTTGGGGTGTATTGAGTTGACTCACCACGTGCTGGGCCTGGGATACCAACGGGTGAGGGGTTGACGTAGGGGGAGCCTTTGGGGTGTATTGAGTTGACTCACCACGTGCTGGGCCTGGGATACCAACGGGTGAGGGGTTAACGTAGGGGGAGCCTTTGGGGTGTATTGAGTTGACTCACCACGTGCTGGGCCTGGGATACCAACGGGTGAGGGGTTAACGTAGGGGGAGCCTTTGGGGTGTATTGAGTTGACTCACCACGTGCTGGGCCTGGGATACCAACGGGTGAGGGGTTAACGTAGGGGGAGCCTTTGGGGTGTATTGAGTTGACTCACCACGTGCTGGGCCTGGGATACCAACGGGTGAGGGGTTAACGTAGGGGGAGCCTTTGGGGTGTATTGAGTTGACTCACCACGTGCTGGGCCTGGGATACCAACGGGTGAGGGGATAACGTAGGGGGAGCCTTTGGGGTGTATTGAGTTGACTCACCACGTGCTGGGCCTGGGATACCAACGGGTGATGGGTTAACGTAGGGGGAGCCTTTGGGGTGTATTGAGTTGACTCACCACGTGCTGGGCCTGGGATACCAACGGGTGAGGGGTTAACGTAGGGGGAGCCTTTGGGGTGTATTGAGTTGACTCACCACGTGCTGGGCCTGGGATACCAACGGGTGAGGGGTTAACGTAGGGGGAGCCTTTGGGGTGTATTGAGTTGACTCACCACGTGCTGGGCCTGGGATACCAACGGGTGAGGGGTTAACGTAGGGGGAGCCTTTGGGGTGTATTGAGTTGACTCACCACGTGCTGGGCCTGGGATACCAACGGGTGAGGGGTTAACGTAGGGGGAGCCTTTGGGGTGTATTGAGTTGACTCACCACGTGCTGGGCCTGGGATACCAACGGGTGAGGGGTTAACGTAGGGGGAGCCTTTGGGGTGTATTGAGTTGACTCACCACGTGCTGGGCCTGGGATACCAACGGGTGAGGGGTTAACGTAGGGGGAGCCTTTGGGGTGTATTGAGTTGACTCACCACGTGCTGGGCCTGGGATACCAACGGGTGAGGGGTTAACGTAGGGGGAGCCTTTGGGGTGTATTGAGTTGACTCACCACGTGCTGGGCCTGGGATACCAACGGGTGAGGGGTTGACGTAGGGGGAGCCTTTGGGGTGTATTGAGTTGACTCACCACGTGCTGGGCCTGGGATACCAACGGGTGAGGGGTTAACGTAGGGGGAGCCTTTGGGGTGTATTGAGTTGACTCACCACGTGCTGGGCCTGGGATACCAACGGGTGAGGGGTTAACGTAGGGGGAGCCTTTGGGGTGTATTGAGTTGACTCACCACGTGCTGGGCCTGGGATACCAACGGGTGAGGGGTTAACGTAGGGGGAGCCTTTGGGGTGTATTGAGTTGACTCACCACGTGCTGGGCCTGGGATACCAACGGGTGAGGGGTTAACGTAGGGGGAGCCTTTGGGGTGTATTGAGTTGACTCACCACGTGCTGGGCCTGGGATACCAACGGGTGAGGGGATAACGTAGGGGGAGCCTTTGGGGTGTATTGAGTTGACTCACCACGTGCTGGGCCTGGGATACCAACGGGTGATGGGTTAACGTAGGGGGAGCCTTTGGGGTGTATTGAGTTGACTCACCACGTGCTGGGCCTGGGATACCAACGGGTGAGGGGTTAACGTAGGGGGAGCCTTTGGGGTGTATTGAGTTGACTCACCACGTGCTGGGCCTGGGATACCAACGGGTGAGGGGTTAACGTAGGGGGAGCCTTTGGGGTGTATTGAGTTGACTCACCACGTGCTGGGCCTGGGATACCAACGGGTGAGGGGTTAACGTAGGGGGAGCCTTTGGGGTGTATTGAGTTGACTCACCACGTGCTGGGCCTGGGATACCAACGGGTGAGGGGATAACGTAGGGGGAGCCTTTGGGGTGTATTGAGTTGACTCACCACGTGCTGGGCCTGGGATACCAACGGGTGATGGGTTAACGTAGGGGGAGCCTTTGGGGTGTATTGAGTTGACTCACCACGTGCTGGGCCTGGGATACCAACGGGTGAGGGGTTAACGTAGGGGGAGCCTTTGGGGTGTATTGAGTTGACTCACCACGTGCTGGGCCTGGGATACCAACGGGTGAGGGGTTAACGTAGGGGGAGCCTTTGGGGTGTATTGAGTTGACTCACCACGTGCTGGGCCTGGGATACCAACGGGTGAGAAGTTAACGAAGGGGGAGCCTTTGGGGTGTATTGAGTTGACTCACCACGTGCTGGGCCTGGGATACCAACGGGTGAGGGGTTAACGTAGGGGTAGCCTTTGGGGTGTATTGAGTTGACTCACCACGTGCTGGGCCTGGGATACCAACGGGTGAGGGGTTAACGTAGGGGGAGCCTTTGGGGTGTATTGAGTTGACTCACCACGTGCTGGGCCTGGGATACCAACGGGTGAGGGGTTAACGTAGGGGGAGCCTTTGGGGTGTATTGAGTTGACTCACCACGTGCTGGGCCTGGGATACCAACGGGTGAGGGGTTAACGTAGGGGGAGCCTTTGGGGTGTATTGAGTTGACTCACCACGTGCTGGGCCTGGGATACCAACGGGTGAGGGGTTAACGTAGGGGGAGCCTTTGGGGTGTATTGAGTTGACTCACCACGTGCTGGGCCTGGGATACCAACGGGTGAGGGGTTAACGTAGGGGGAGCCTTTGGGGTGTATTGAGTTGACTCACCACGTGCTGGGCCTGGGATACCAACGGGTGAGGGGTTAACGTAGGGGGAGCCTTTGGGGTGTATTGAGTTGACTCACCACGTGCTGGGCCTGGGATACCAACGGGTGAGGGGTTAACGTAGGGGGAGCCTTTGGGGTGTATTGAGTTGACTCACCACGTGCTGGGCCTGGGATACCAACGGGTGAGGGGTTAACGTAGGGGGAGCCTTTGGGGTGTATTGAGTTGACTCACCACGTGCTGGGCCTGGGATACCAACGGGTGAGGGGTTAACGTAGGGGGAGCCTTTGGGGTGTATTGAGTTGACTCACCACGTGCTGGGCCTGGGATACCAACGGGTGAGGGGTTAACGTAGGGGGAGCCTTTGGGGTGTATTGAGTTGACTCACCACGTGCTGGGCCTGGGATACCAACGGGTGAGGGGTTAACGTAGGGGGAGCCTTTGGGGTGTATTGAGTTGACTCACCACGTGCTGGGCCTGGGATACCAACGGGTGAGGGGTTAACGTAGGGGGAGCCTTTGGGGTGTATTGAGTTGACTCACCACGTGCTGGGCCTGGGATACCAACGGGTGAGGGGTTAACGTAGGGGGAGCCTTTGGGGTGTATTGAGTTGACTCACCACGTGCTGGGCCTGGGATACCAACGGGTGAGGGGTTAACGTAGGGGGAGCCTTTGGGGTGTATTGAGTTGACTCACCACGTGCTGGGCCTGGGATACCAACGGGTGAGGGGTTAACGTAGGGGGAGCCTTTGGGGTGTATTGAGTTGACTCACCACGTGCTGGGCCTGGGATACCAACGGGTGAGGGGTTAACGTAGGGGGAGCCTTTGGGGTGTATTGAGTTGACTCACCACGTGCTGGGCCTGGGATACCAACGGGTGAGGGGTTAACGTAGGGGGAGCCTTTGGGGTGTATTGAGTTGACTCACCACGTGCTGGGCCTGGGATACCAACGGGTGAGGGGTTAACGTAGGGGGAGCCTTTGGGGTGTATTGAGTTGACTCACCACGTGCTGGGCCTGGGATACCAACGGGTGAGGGGTTAACGTAGGGGGAGCCTTTGGGGTGTATTGAGTTGACTCACCACGTGCTGGGCCTGGGATACCAACGGGTGAGGGGTTAACGTAGGGGGAGCCTTTGGGGTGTATTGAGTTAACTCACCACGTGCTGGGCCTGGGATACCAACGGGTGAGGGGTTAACGTAGGGGGAGCCTTTGGGGTGTATTGAGTTGACTCACCACGTGCTGGGCCTGGGATACCAACGGGTGAGGGGTTAACGTAGGGGGAGCCTTTGGGGTGTATTGAGTTGACTCACCACGTGCTGGGCCTGGGATACCAACGGGTGAGGGGTTAACGTAGGGGGAGCCTTTGGGGTGTATTGAGTTGACTCACCACGTGCTGGGCCTGGGATACCAACGGGTGAGGGGTTAACGTAGGGGGAGCCTTTGGGGTGTATTGAGTTGACTCACCACGTGCTGGGCCTGGGATACCAACGGGTGAGGGGTTAACGTAGGGGGAGCCTTTGGGGTGTATTGAGTTGACTCACCACGTGCTGGGCCTGGGATACCAACGGGTGAGGGGTTAACGTAGGGGGAGCCTTTGGGGTGTATTGAGTTGACTCACCACGTGCTGGGCCTGGGATACCAACGGGTGAGGGGTTAACGTAGGGGGAGCCTTTGGGGTGTATTGAGTTGACTCACCACGTGCTGGGCCTGGGATACCAACGGGTGAGGGGTTAACGTAGGGGGAGCCTTTGGGGTGTATTGAGTTGACTCACCACGTGCTGGGCCTGGGATACCAACGGGTGAGGGGTTAACGTAGGGGGAGCCTTTGGGGTGTATTGAGTTGACTCACCACGTGCTGGGCCTGGGATACCAACGGGTGAGGGGTTAACGTAGGGGGAGCCTTTGGGGTGTATTGAGTTGACTCACCACGTGCTGGGCCTGGGATACCAACGGGTGAGGGGTTAACGTAGGGGGAGCCTTTGGGGTGTATTGAGTTGACTCACCACGTGCTGGGCCTGGGATACCAACGGGTGAGGGGTTAACGTAGGGGGAGCCTTTGGGGTGTATTGAGTTGACTCACCACGTGCTGGGCCTGGGATACCAACGGGTGAGGGGTTAACTTAGGGTGAGCCTTTGGGGTTGATTGAGTTGACTCACCACGTGCTGGGCCTCGGATACCAACGGGTGAGGATCGATTGGGGTTAACTTAGGGTGAGCCTTTGGGGTTGATTGAGTTGACTCACCACGTGCTGGGCCTCGGATACCAACGGGTGAGGATCGATTGGGGTTAACTTAGGGTGAGCCTTTGGGGTTGATTGAGTTGACTCACCACGTGCTGGGCCTCGGATACCAACGGGTGAGGATCGATTGGGGTTAACTTAGGGTGAGCCTTTGGGGTTGATTGAGTTGACTCACCACGTGCTGGGCCTCGGATACCAACGGGTGAGGATCGATTGGGGTTAACTTAGGGTGAGCCTTTGGGGTTGATTGAGTTGACTCACCACGTGCTGGGCCTCGGATACCAACGGGTGAGGATCGATTGGGGTTAACTTAGGGTGAGCCTTTGGGGTTGATTGAGTTGACTCACCACGTGCTGGGCCTCGGATACCAACGGGTAAGAACACATCCAGGTTAGCATATGGTGGGCTTTGGGGATTGTGCACGTCAATGCCTCAGGTTTAGCCCCGTTAAGCACATCAGTCTGCTCTGCTTGCCCTCTTTTGATCGACCCTCCCCATTGCATGCCGCTGTTGCTGCTTCTCACTTTTTCTCTCCACTGTGCTCCGCTTGACTGCCCCCATTCTCCGCCATGCCAGGTGGTGGTGATTGGAACCGACATCCCTGATGTGGATGGTGCCACTTCCCTGCCTGCTACTTTCGCTGCTCCTAACTCCCTGCCCATCATCTCTCCGCCTCTCACACTCAACCATCCATGCCAGGTGGTGGTGATTGGAACAGACATCCCTGATGTGGGTGGTGCCACTGTGGCTGCTGCGCTCTCTGCTCTTAAGCGCCACCAAGTAAGTGGAGAGGCGAGGAGGGGGCACCAGTGGGTGAGGGAAGGCGTGGGTGCATCGCTGGGTACAAGGGCGATGGGAACAGACATCCCTGATGTGGATGGTGCCACTGTTGCTGCTGCGCTCTCTGCACTTAAGCGCCACCAGGTAAGTGGAGGAGAGGGGCGAAAGGGCACCAGTGGGTGGGAGGAGGTGTCAGGGCATTTCTTGGGGGAAGACATGGTAATGTGGTGATTGGAACAGCGTCCCTGATGTGGATGATGCCAGTGGGGGTCAGTAGAGGACAGGGGGATGGAAAATATACAGGGCTGGAAGAGAGGTGTGGTGCTGAGGGAGGGAAAGAGTTTGATGGGCGAAAAGACCAAAAGGCTTCTGTTTTTTGGCCAGATTCGATAGAAGATTTAAACTCTGAGAGACAAAAGAGAATTACTTGGTTTGTTGCAATTAGCAGTTAATCCGTCACACCCGCGTTGGCTTCCCTGTCAGGTGGTGTTTGGGCCGGCTCTGGATGGCGGATACTACCTCCTTGGGCTCACTGCCGTACTGCCGTGCCTTTTCGATGTATGTGAGATGCATGCCACGATGTGTACTACTGTGGTCATCTCATCCCATGCGTGTATATGTGAGAGTCGGGGGCATGCCACCAAGTGTTATGTGTACATCAGTTGTGTGTGTGTGTGGTGTCTCTTACATGGGTGGGTAGGTGTGCCTGGTCTGGATGCTGGATACTACCTCCTGGGCTCACTAACATGCTGCCGTGCCTCTTCCATGTATGTGAGATGCATGCCACCACGTGTAGACTACTCATCTCATCCCATGTGTGGTGTCCCTTATGTGCGTGTGTCTGGATGGTGGATACTACCTCCTCGGCCTCAAATCGGTGCTGCCGTGCCTCTTCCATGTGTGTGGGGCATGTCACCATGTGTGTAGGGCATGTGTGTAGGGCATGTCACCATGTGTGTAGGGCATGTCACCATGTGTGTAGGGCATGTCACCATGTGTGTAGGGCATGTCACCATGTGTGTAGGGCATGTCACCATGTGTGTGGTGCCATGTATGTGGGGCATGTCACCGTGTATGTGGGGCGTATCAGCATGTGTGTGGGGCATGTCAGCATGTGTGTGGGGCATACTGCCATGTGTGGTGTGGTCATTCCATGTGTGTAAGTGCTGCATGTGCTCGTCCCATACATGCATGCATATGCATGTCAGTATCCCTCATCTGCTGCATCCCTCTCGATCACATTCTCTTGCTCCTCCCCATCCTCCCCCACTCCAATTTCTCCTCACCACTCTTCCTCCTGCCATCCCCCTCTTAACCCTCGCACTCATCCTCCCCGCACCATCAAGGCATAAAGTGGGGCACGAAATTAGGGTGCTGCAACAGTCACTCACTGACTTCCCTTGTTCTTCACCCTCCTTCCCCACTCAAATTTCTCCTCGCCACTCTTTCCCCTGCCATCCTCCCTCCTCCCTCTTTCACACCACCATACCCCATCAGGGCATGAGTGGAGCACGGCCAGGGTGCTGCAGCAGTCACTCTCTGCACTCCACACCACACCACACCAACAGGATGGCTGCCTGCTATGCCTGGGGAACATCGACAAAGTTCAATACCTCACATCCTGGCTCTTCCCCTCTCTCCCATCCCTCCTGTCCCTCATCCCCCATACCCCATCAGGGCATCGAGTGGAGGTGCTGCAGCAGTCACTCTCAGCTCTCCACATCAACGGAGTGGCTGACGTGGCGCCACTGGATTCGCTGCCGCGCCTGAGGGACATCGACACTGTTCACGACCTGACAGCCTGGCTCGCAGAAAACCGCGTTGAGGTGGGCGGCGAAGGTGTTTTGGAGGCAGACAGTACGGTGCTGAGTGGTTGTGGGATTCAGACGGCAAATGAGGAGAATGCTTCGAGGGCAGCGCATGCAGGTGTGCCCCCGACAACACATGCTCCTCTTGGCTGTGTGCATGGAGCTAGGGTTGGCAGAATGGAAGGTGGAACAGACACACAGGGGCTACTTTCTGTAGTTGCACGCTTGGTCAAGTAAGCTCAGTAGGTGGATTGTAGTGTTGTCTTTTGTGCCTTGGTATCCATCCATACTGCCAGGCACCCAGCCGGCAAGATTCAGTTGCAAATTTATTCGTTGGCACATAAAATAAGGGTGCCTGTGTCAAAGCCCCGGATTCCCAGCACCACGCTGCACGCGAAGTAAAGAAGGTTGTTCTCTTACACATCGCCTCACCTTCGCCTCGCCTAATTTGAAAGCTCCAAGGATGAGGAGAGAGTCAGAGAACACATTGGTGAATGATACATGTTACGAACAATACATGCATTATTATTGCCCTAACCATTTTTCCCGCCTCCTCCCTCCACCAACTACCGGTACACCTCTTCATCGTATTCTGCGACTCCACAGGAAACAATAATCACAAACATTATCCACGATACAATACCGGTACGAGGGGCTTAGTCTAGATGACCTTGGCGAGCTGGCACTCGGTGGTGTTGGTCATTGAGTAGCTGTTGCCGTTGCCGAAGCGCAGCTCCTGCACGCAGGGCCGGAAGTCCCACGTATGCGCATACACAATGTTCACCGTCTCCCCGGGGAGCATCTGCAGTTTGCCGCTAGCACCGCGGTTCATGCGCATCTCACAGTACCCCGGCGTGGTCTGCACGAAAATGTCGCCTGTCTGGTACTGCGTGGGGTAACGCGCGGGGTTGGCGAGGTCAAGGGGAGCAGCGGAATGAGAGGTCAGGTGGGCAGAAAAAATGGGAGTCACGCAGAGCAGAGAAAGGGAGGTGAGGAAAGCAGAGAACCGAGAGATAAGGAAGCAGAGAACTGAGAGGTACGGGCAGCAGAGAAATGAGAGGTAAGGGGAGCAGAGAAATGAGAGGTAAGGGGAGAAGAGAAAGGAGAGGTAAGGGGAGCAGAGAAATGAGGGGCAAAGGGAGCAGAGAAATGAGGGGTAAAGGGAGCAGAGAAATGAGGTAAAGGGAGCAGAGAAATGAGGGGTAAAGGGAGCAGAGAAATGAGGGGTAAAGGGAGCAGAGAAATGAGGTAAAGGGAGCAGAGAAAGCCAAGGAGAACAGTGAAATGAGAGGCACGGAGAGCAGGAACGGGCTGTGAGAAGAAAGGAACAGCAGAGCTAAGGGACCAAGGCAGGGAAGAGAGGGAGAGGAGGGAGCAGCGTTGCATACTGGTGGCGAGGGCCTGGCGGCGGGGGATGTGGTGGAGGTAGTCGGGCAGAGGCGCGTGGTGAGCGAAGGTCTCAGCCGCCAGAATGCGCGCGCCCTTCCTCTGCTGCCCCGCGCCCACCCCGCCAGCCGCCGCACCCCCCTCTGGGACCAGCCCCCTGGCTACCTTCATGGCGTCCCGCGCTCCACTCACTGCCGCCGCCAGCAACCCCACTGCCAGCGCTGCCAGCACGAGCACGCGCATACCAGCCGTCGCCATGAGGGAAGGCACACAAGTGACTGCTGAGCTGCCTCAGAACTCGGCTTGCACAGACGTGGTCGCTGAGTTGGCTCGGAATCGGGCTGGCAAAGCAGCTGGAGAGAGCTGGAAGGCTGCTGCGAACGGGTTCTTGAGGAGGAGAGTGAGAAGAGAGGCGGATTGGCGCTGATGATTCCATGGCTGCACATGGCGCCGGCTTTGTAGGCGCAGGAAGAGGTGTGCTCAGCTGCATGACTGTGGAGAGTAGGTGGAACAGCTCTAAGGCTGTTAGTGTTTCTGAAGGCTAAAGCTTGGAGAGTCTAAAGTAGCAAGGTAAAACTGGTAGCATAAACTCTGTAAATTTCAGAAAGCAAGAATAGCATTCAGGGAATGAACAGCTACTCTTATACACACTTCTATGACTATGGCGCTTTGAGAAGGTCGCTCAGGTCGCCATTGATCCTATCTCTGTTGTCACCAGCAGGGAACTCAATATGTACAAGCCAAGATAAGAAGCCTATGCTCTGTCCTTGCTGTTTACATAGGAATATACGAAACACGATCATGAGATAGATCTAGAAGGAAACTGGCTGACTTGTACTTCGTCGTTATGATGATGGCACTTAAGTCTTGTAATGCTGGAGAGTAGTTGCAGTTGCATGAGTTGTCTTCTTGCTTTGTTGTCGTGATGCTTCTCTGGTTTCTTCTCTCTGCTGCTTTGCTGGTTGGGGTTTCACGTGTGCTTTGGGAAATCCTGAAGCACACATGCTAGGTTGGGAGTTCCAACCTCGAAATCCACATTTCAGGTTGGGGTTTTGGCGAAGGTTACAGATTCGCCAATTTGCGAACTTTCCTGTGGCGAGTTCGCCTTTGCCCTGTTACATTACTCCCCCCTCCAAGGAGCACCGTCCTCGGTGCACCAGCAGATGCAAGATAGGCAGAAATGGCTCGGTGGGCATACTGCAGGTCCTTGTCTGGAATCCAGAGATTTTCTGCATCATCTTGCCCACGCCACTTTACAAGAAAATATCTACCACTAGGTGTTGTTTCATGAGCAAGAATCTTCTCAACTTCAAACAAATCAGGGCTTGGAGTGAACATGGGAGGGCGAGATGGCTGAGAAGTAGGGAGGAAACGAGCTGGAGGGTCATGATATGGGCGTAGCAGCTGGACATGAAAGACCGGATGGATGTTGATATGGGGCGGAAGTTTCAAACGGTATGTGAGTGGAGAGAGAACCTGTGTGACTGTGAAGGGACCAATGAAACGAGGTGCGAGCTTGCGGGTGAGACCTTGGGTGAGTAGGGGCAGATTTGTGGTTGAGAGAAGAACTCTGTCCCCTACATGAAAGTTGATGTTACGCCGGTGCTGATCTGCGTAGTGAATCATACGTTGCTGTGCCTTGGACAGTGAGGTGGGTGCTGCTGCTATGGCTTTCTCTCTGTCCTTCAGAAACGCCGTTGCTGCAGTGTCACGTTTGGGGCTGTGAACCAGTGAGGTAGGAGAGCGAGGGTTCTGTCCAGTAGCTAAGTAGAAGGGGGTCTGTCCAGTAGCGAGGTTGGCAGAGCTGTTGTAAGAGAACTCGACTTCTGGCAGATGGGTGTCCCAATCGTTTTGGCGAGCGTTGACACATGCACGCAAGCCATCTTCCAGCGTTCGATTCATTCTCTCGGTCTGCCCATCAGACTGAGGGTGGTAGGCAGTTGAGAGGCGAATCTTGGTACCCTTCCTGTTGAAAAGGGTCTGCCAGAATCTGCCAACGAAACGGGAATCACGATCGGAGATAAGGACAGAGGGAATACCGTGAAGGCGCACTACTTCTGTAAAAAAGAGTTCAGCAACGTCCTGGGCAGTGGCAGTGGTGGAAGTGGGAATGAAATGGGCCATCTTTGTGAGCTTGTCAACCACAGTGAGAATGGCGTTGTGATGGGCAGCAGTGGGAGGCAAGTCAGTGATGAAATCAAGGGTGACATGGCTCCATGGAATTTCTGGAATTTCCAAGGGATGTAAGTGGCCATAAGGAGGGGAGTTGCGAGCTTTGTTGCACTGACAGGTATGGCAGCTGCGCACGTAGGAGCGAACATCAAGGTAGATGTTAGGCCAGAAAAAGTTTGATGTGATTGCAGCCACGGTTTTGTCCACTCCAAAGTGCGATTTCTGATCATGATGTTCGCGTAGGAGGAGGAGACGGAGTTTGCGGTCAGAAGGGACGCAGATGGCATGAGAATCTGCTTTTTACCAGAAGGGGGGGTCAAAATAGTATGGTTTGTCGGAAGGGGCAGAATGGAGGTAAAAATTATCATGGCGGTATCCCTTGGTAAATTTCTTGGTGAAGTCTGGGTCCCATGTCACGCTGCCGATCACAGCAAGCTGAGAGGTTGGGGGACGAGAGAGAACATCGGCAGGATTTGTACGGCCAGCACGATACTCAATTTTCAGCTCTGGAACGTACTGCTCAAGAAATTCCATCCATCTTGCCTGCCGTGGTGTGAGATGAGGTTGCGTCTTCAAGTGCTGCAGAGTGCAATGGTCCGTCAAGACCGTTACCGGCTGCATGTGAACGTAGCAACGCCACTTCTTGATAGCATTGACAATGGCCAGCGCTTCTCGGTCATGAGTAGCGTAGTTGCACTCGGCTGGTTTCAGCATACGTGAGTCAAAAGCAATGGGCTGAAGGCCATGTCCTTGGTCTTGACACAAGATTGCACCCGTAGCAACTTGAGATGCATCTGTCCATATGACATAAGGAAGGGAGGGGTCGGGTAGGACTAGGGTGGGAGAAGAGGTAAGAGCATGTCTGATGGTGGTGAAGGCTTCTTCCTGTTCAGGTCCCCAATGAAAAGGTTGCTGCTTGCGAAGAAGGTTAGAGAGGGGTGAGGTGATGGCAGCAAAATGATTGATGAATTTTCGGTAGTAGTTGGCAAGGCCAAGGAAGGCTTGAAGGTCCTTGATGCAGGTAGGCTGCTTCAAGTTCTCAACGACCTGAATCTTGGTGGGGTCCATAGCAAGCTGATTATGAGAAATGATATGACCCAGGAAAGGGATAGATGATTTTGCAAACTCACACTTGCTCTCTTTTGCAAAAAGCCGATGTTCGCGAAGCTTCACGAGTACCTGGCGTAGGTGCTCAGAGTGTTCTCTCAATGACTTGCTGAAAATCAGAATGTCATCAATGAAAACGATGACAAACCGATCTAGAAAGTCACGAAAGATGTTGTGCATCAAGCACATGAAAGTGACAGGGGCATTTGTGAGTCCAAAGGGAAGTACAAGGAATTCAAAATGCCCATACCGGGTTCGGAATGCTGTTTTCTCAATGTCTTCTTCAGCAACGCGAACCTGATGGTAACCGCTTCGAAGGTCAAGCTTGCTGAAAATTTTGGCCTCGCCGAGTTGCTCAAAGAGTTCCTCCACTCGCGGTAGCGGGTATCGGTTCTTGATGGTGAGTTTGTTGAGGGCGCGGTAGTCTATACACATGCGAAGGGAGCCATCCTTCTTTTTCACGAAAAGAATGGGGGCTGCGTAGGGGGAAGAGCTGACACGAATAAAGCCTTTTTCAAGGAGTTCCTCCAGTTGAGCTTGGACTTCCTTCAGTTCAGCAGCACTCATGCGGTAGGTAGCACGAACAGGAGGTTCGGATCCAGGTTGTAGCACGATCCGGTGATCCACTGAGCGCTTGGGAGGAAGTCCTGTTGGGAGGTCTGAAGGAAACACATCTTGAAAATCAGTGAGGACTTTCTGAATTTCCGCAGGAGGATTGAGATTAGGAGAACAAGGGGCTGAAGGGGCTTTTGAGGTTTGTTGCAGCAAGCAAACGAAGAATTGAGCCTGAGGGTCTTTAGAAAGCTGCTTCAGCTGTCTCACAGAAATCACACTGCAGTTGGGTAAGGAAGAGGAGGAAGGGATGGTAGGAAGAGTGATTTCAGCTCCACTGTGCACGATGGTTACTGTTCCAGCAGTCCAATCAATCCGTGGGTTCTTGGATGATAGCCAGTCACGCCCGAGGATTACATGATGCTCTCCCAAAGGTACTTGCTGGAACTGGAGCTTGTCTTTGTATGAGCCCATGGTGCAGTTGATTGGGAAAGGGGTTGGGCACACGTGATAGAAGCTCCGTTCGCCATCTGCACTGTTTGGGAATGGGAATCTTTTTGGATAGGGAGAGATAGTTCAGAAACAAGGTTTGATGAGATAAAGTTTGATGAAGCTCCGCTATCAATCAGAGCCTTGAAGGTACGGTTCCGAATGGCTATGGATAAGAGAAGGGGGTTGGATGGAATGGTATTTTCAAGAGAGATGATGGAAGGGCTCTGCAGGTTGCCAGAAAGTCGCCCCAAGCTTACTGGCGGTGACTGTTTTTTGGTGTTGGAAGCAACGGTGGTCGGCTGGAGCGTTCGCGGCAGAACCTCCACACATGACCCTTCTTGCCGCACTTGAAGCAAACGACATTGGTCTTCACAGGTTTCTTGCCCTTCTCCATCACATCCAGGTCCATAGGAGCAGGTTCTTGCGGGTTGAATGTTGCTGAAGAGGATGGCTGATGGGAGGGAGCAAAAGGGAGAAACGAGCTGCGAGGAAATTGTGCCTTGTATGCAAAATGAACAGCATCATACCGTTCAGCGACACGTATCATTTCCTCGAGCGTAGTGCAGTCCCTTAGCTCGACCTCCATGCGAACGCTTGATTTCAGGCCGCGCTTGAAGCGATCCATCTTTTCAGCAGTGGACAGGTCAGGAATCTCTTGAGCGACGGCACGGAAGCGTTCCGCGTACTCCTGGACGGACTTGAGTTGCTTGAGGGCAGCCAAACGGTCACGAGCTTTGAGTTCCGGGTTCACAGGTTGAAAAGCAGCCGTGAAGAGTTGCTTGAACTGATCCCATGTTTGAACAGAGACGTGGATGGACTGCCACCAAGTGATTGCGGAACCTCGAAGAAGCGTTTCCGTGAATGATGTCCACTCAGCAGGTGCAACGTGGCTCAACAGCAAGTACTGCTCGACAAGGAACAGCCATCGATTCACC